ACTAGCATTGTGATGTCTCTTAAACCACAATTTTTCTCCTTAAGAGCACCCTCATTGTAACTAAAGGGATTGCAGAAATTCCAGTTTTAATTTTTTGCCTGTTCATTTGCATAAACTCAACAAGAGCAGCCATTGATCATATAGAATCATTAAGTATGTTTTGCTGGAACTCACACAAGGAACCTTTAGATTGAGCTTTACTGAGCCCTTCAGGGCACAGAAGCCAAGCCATACAACTTCCTTCCAGCTTTGCCTGAAGTACGTATATTCCTCAAGTCCTTGAGGTTCCCATCATGTCTTAAGGTTTGTCCTTGCCATCTTTCAGGAAAGCAACCTTCATTCCTTCCCCAGAAATACTGCCATAAACTATATGACCAAAGTACCAGGCCATTTCTCCAGTGGGCTTTTGTTAGCTTCAAAGTCAATCTCATTTCCTCAAGTCTTTCTAGTAACAACCAGAGGCCAGGTATGCTTCCTTCAGGCATGACATTCCAGCCAAAGTCTTGGTTATTAAAACCACAATTAGAAAATGGTCTTATTGGTTTTATGCAAAGAAACTTTATGCCATTACTCAGTCATTAAGAATGCCAAATTCATTAGGGATTTGGTAAGGGAGAAAAATGCAAAGCAAAAAGGGAAATCCTTGTCCTTTCAATATTCATAAACATTGTATTTTCATGCCTATACCTTCCATTGCTTACTTTCCCACTTGATGTGCAGTTTTAACTCTCCCTGGGAAACCTAAATATCCTTTCAGAACAAAAACTAAGCAAAGTCTAAACCAAAGACAGAGTTCCAAAAAAGAGGCATGGACTAGGACTAGCCTTAAAATCTAGTGTCACACCAACCAGTCCCACTAACCAGTCACATAGATGACTTTTCCCAGGTCCCAGATGGCCCCAAAGCCTGAATGGTAGAGACAGTCTCTCTTCTACCAGTGCATTCACTGGTCTACTGGCAGAGACATAACTTCTCAACAACCAGCCTCATGGCAGAGACATGCTCTCTCACCCCATCCAGACTCTAAGCATCACCAAAAGACTTTGCGTAGGTCCCTTGGTGATGTAGGAATACAAGACCAGAATACAAGCAAAGAAATCATGCAAACAGAATAAAACAAATGAAGAATATTGTACCCAAGAGCTGAGGTTACCTTTCATTCCAAGTTTATTAATTTATTTTTAGTGAAGGGAGAAGGAAGATAGAAAGAGAGGGAGAGAAACATCAATGTGAAAAAAAAAAAACACAACAACATTGATCAGTTGCCTCTTGCACACACCCCCAACCAGGGACCTGGCTCACCACCCTAGCATGTGCTTTCACTTTCAATCCTTTTTTTTTTTCCAACACTGGGAAGGACCATACTCAAACTCAGTGTCTGGCAGCTGAAAGTCCCAGCTTTGCGAACACGTAAGTAAAGTAAAAGGAACATTGTCACTTTGCATTGGGGAGTCACAGTCTTTTTTTTTTTTTGAAAGAGATATTTCAAATCTCCTTCCAGAGTGTAGGTCCAGCATTCCCTTTAACCATCAACTACAGAAGCAAGATTTAACTCCTCCTCAGGTGATGCCTGTTTTATCTCTGTGTGGTGGATCCAACACTTGATTCCCATTAGCTTTAGAGAAGAGTGAGTTGTCAACAGGACATCATTTCTTGGTGAGGACTGTCATCTTCTTTATTTTTCCTTTTGAGTTTCAGGCATTCCCTTTTCCAATGGCCCCCTTCCTTGCAATGGGCACATTAATTGGTGCCTAATGTGTCTTTCCTCCCTAACTTGGACTTCCATCTCTCCTCTGGTTTCCCCACACTGTTTGTAAGAAAATTATGGCATGTCCTTTGCTTCCTGGGCATTGTAACTTTTAAGGCCCTGTCCACCAGCTGAGAGGGATTCATCCCCACTGTTCCATCTACACTGGAGTTTCTTTCTGATATCTGGGGAACTTTGCCTATTGAGTGTCATGTTCACCATCTGCACATTCTCTGGTGCCTCTGGGTCAGTATCAGTGTGCTTTCTATATGCCTGATAGATCTTTTATAATAATTCGGAAGAAGTCCAGACTTGTGTGACTCGGTTGGTCATTGTTCCACAGTACAAAAGGCCACAGGTTTGATTCCTAGCCAGGGCACATGCTAGGGTGGTGAGCCAGGTCCCTGGTTGGGGTGTGTGCAAGAGGCAACTGATCAATGTAGTTCTGTTTTTTTTTTTTTTCACATTGATGTTTCTCTCCCTCTCTTTCTATCTTCCTTCTACCTTCACTAAAAATAAATTAATAAAATCTTTAGAAAGATTCAGAAGGATCCTCATCTTTGTTGGATGACCAGTATCATATTCGGGCTCTTGTTTAGACACCACTTTCATAAACACTTCCAGTATGCACTTTCTGTAGTGTTCCAGGAAGGCTAGGCCCCCACCACTTGGTATCCAGTCAGGTTTTGTCAAGGGAATTGCCCCAGCTGGGCTGGGCGTCCCATTGGGATTTTCTTGGTGGAGGTGTTAAGCCTCATTAGCCTTATTTATAACCAGCCTCCTTTCGTCTGCCATCAGCAGAATGTGAAGGAGAGCCTGTACATCTGCCCAGTTTGTATGATGAGTGACAAAAATGGAGGTGACAAGATCTGCCACTTCTCTAAGGATTCTCCCTACATGAGGGCTTGGGATTCTTCCAATTCAGTAAGTCTGAAGTAGAGAATGCAGTTTGGGCCCAATAGTAGCCAGCAGGCTGGCCTTCCTGAGTTACCCATCTATAGAGCACTGCCTCAAAGGGAACTGTCTGCTCCAGATGGAGGTGCTGCCTGGCCAAATTGAGTGCCCTGATGGGTCTTCGATGGGGAGAGCCTTCCCTCATCACACAGGGGTGGGGCTGTATGGGCCCTCTGGGCTCTCTGGGCCCTATTTCAGGGGTATCTAATAGTGGGAGTAGGGACAGGGGAGATCTTCCTGCTACTAATCCTGCATCCCCTGGGTACAGGGCATTGACAAAACTTATTTCTTCATTTTCCTTTTCTTCCTGCATTCTACTATCAGGAGGGGTTTTGAAGCCACTTCCCTTCTTTGCACCATCAAGCAATTCTCTGTCCCTGGTGAAATGCTATCACGTAACAACATAAATGCCTTGAGCTAATAGATTTCATCCCATTTGTCTAACCATTGGCAATATATTTCCAATTGCATGATGGTACAATAATTTAGGGAATCATGTAGGGGCCATTTCCCCTGCAATCTAAAATGCACGTAGGCCACACAGTATTACAGGAAAGAACCAGTTTCTCCTTAGACATTGGACAATGGCTCTACATACTCCATTCTGCTAAAATTCTACCCAGTGAGCCCCCTTCAGGAGCAATACAGAACAGCCCCTATTGTCTTAGACACACAGGCCAAAAGCTATGACCAAAGGAATGCAGGCAAACTGAGGACATATAAGCGAAGCTTGAACCCACAACTCCATTATTCCAAACAAGTGCTCACAAGCAAGTCTTCTGGCAACTGATCTCACAAACAGGGGCCCCCAAACGATGGCCTCCCAAAACTTGGCCGGTCCTCACCCGGACCCTGGTTCACAGCTCCAAAACTCAGGTGATCCTCGCCCCTTCTAAGAGTCTATCCCCTACCCAAACCTGTTTCCTTTCCACCTACCAGATGTGTTTAAGCAGCCGAAACCTCAAGCGTGTGTGCAGAGAATTTCCCGGAGAGTGGGAACCCCACAGTCCAACTCATGAGGGGGTCAGCCTGCCACAGGCAGCTAGGATCCCACCAGAGTCGCCATTACTATTACTGTTACCCAACATAATGAGGCCCCACTGCCCAACACCCATAGGTAAACTCCAAAGGCAGAGGTTTGGTGAAAAAGGAAAAAGGTCATTTATTCAAAAGCTACACCATTTTGGAAGAATGGCAGGCTTCTGCTTTAGAACCATTCCCTCTAAAACCCCCAAAGAAAAACCCCACCACCCTTTGCCAGATGAGTTCAAGGCTGCACCTGGAATTCTTCTCCCATTGAATATAGCATCCTTTGGGAAACACAGAGGGTAACAGTGTGACCACCCAGGTGGCTTAGCTAGCTTCCAGTCGCAGTCCAGCTTCAGGCACCTTTCTGGAGTCTGCGTGCTCTCGTGTCCTACTTGCTGTGTGCTGCCCTTTCTTCTGCTTGCTGCCCGCTGGCCCACCATCTGTGCCCCATCCCTCAGGCCATTGGCTCTCCGGTGTGTCTACATGTCTGGCTGTGTAGGACTGCACAGGGTCAGTCACCCATGCCCCTCTAGAACACCAAAAGAAAATAACCCTGCTACCCTCTGCCTGGCCAGACAATCCTAGGCTGTGCCCGGAGTTCCTTCTCACATTTAAAATACCTTCCTTTGGGAAATGCAGGTGGCTACAACATGATCATCTAGGCATCCTTGATAAAGAGGAAGGGAAAGCCAGTCTCTGTCTTTCTTTTGTTTAAGTCTTCTGGCCCATAATTCTATGCACACTGAGGCATTCAGCCTGGCCAATTTTTTTGTAGCCTGTTTATGATTGCCTCAAGCAACCTCTTCCTATGGCCCCTCTCTACTCTTCCCCAGTAATCTGACCATATCTATCTGTATCTTAATGACTCCAGACCTTTGCCATAGGCAGTGGTTACTCAGCAGTCTTCAGAGCACACCAAGTGCTTGGCCTGATGGGTGCATTTTGCATTTTCTAAGAAACTTGCTAGAACACCTTGATTTCTTAAGATTCCATGCTTACTAGGCATTGGGAAGTTATAATGACAAGACCAGGATTAATTGTAAATTAAATATGTCCCCTAAAAGCCCAAGGATGCACTTCTACCTTCACCCCTGTAGGATGCTCATCATCTTCCCCTCTGCAGGATGCCAGTTCCCCCTCCCCCAATTCACTCCTGCCACAGATTACATGAAAGACATCTCTCAGGCAGTGGCTCAGGGAGGGGTGGCGGTGTGAGAGTGGGAGGCCTTGAGCCCTGGTCAGAAATAATGATTCTTATATTGCTTTGAAGGGTTCACAGGGTCTCAGTGGAGCTCCTGGGCTCCCAGGAGCATCTGGCCTCCCACGTTTAAAAGGTAAGGAGTATTTTCTTTTTTAATTTTTTTTCCAGCACAAGATGAATTTCTAGCAGCCCAGGGCTCTCCTGGGGCATAGGGGTTAGTGGGAAACTCTGTGTTTAGAGGAAAGTGAATTGATTTATGTTTCCCCTTTGGCCAATCCCCTTTGCAGTCTTTGTTCCTCGAAGACTGCAGCAGATAGTGGTCCAACACTCTTGTCTTTCAAACTCAGTAGCAGAGGGGAACCTTGACTCTATACGGTTTTTTTCCCCTGCTGAACCCAACCACTGAGCAGGAAAAATTCCCATCCTTGCTGTCATCATTGTTCCATCCTGGTAATGTTTTAGGGCTCTTTCCATTATCTTCCCTGCCCATACTTGTCCTATTAATGTGCTTCCCAATGAAGATATGCTGCATGTAGCAGCGCATCCTGCCAATAAATAGCCTGGTAGCTTCTCAGCCCTTTGTTAGAGATTGGTCACCTTTTACCCAATAGGTAATTTTGTCAAAGAACTCCTCTGGCTATATTAAATCTGTAAAGATTTTTGCCTTCAAAAGATCTTGTGACAAAATGAGTTATAATTTCTCCTGAACACTTGAACAATGTTTTGATAACCCCAGGAGATCAAGGCCAGACACTTGGACTTCCTGGCAGACCAGGACCTAAGGGACAACCTGGGGAGCCTGGCTTGCAAGGTAAGGTCCTATTTCTGGAGTCACTCAGAACAAGTTGATTTACTTATCTTTTTTAAAAAAAAATATTGTTGTTCAATTACAGTTGTCCCCATTTTCCCTCATTACTTTCCCCTGCCCTACCCACCCTCTACCTTCCACATTCAATCCTCCCCCGACCCCATTGTCCTTGTCCATTGGTCCTTTATACATGTTACTTGACTTGACTCATCCCCTTCTTTCCCATGTAATCCTCTCCCCCCTCCCCTCTGGTTAATGTCAGTTTGTTATTTATTTAGATGTCTCTGGTTCTAGTTTGCTCACTCGTTTGTTTTGTTGATTAGGTTCAACTTATATAGGTGAGATCATATGGTATTTGTATTTCATTGTCTGGCTTATTTTATTTAGCATATTACTCTCCAGTTCCATCCATGCTGTTGCATAGGATAAGAGTTCCTTCTTTCTTTTTGTTGCATAGTATTAAGTTACTAAGTGTAAATATACCCCTGTTTTTTGATCCACTCATTTACTGATGGTTACTTAGGCTGTTTCCAGAACTTGGCTATTTAAATAATGCTGCTATGAACATAAGGATGCATAAGTTCTCTTGAATTGTTGTTCCAGGATTCTGAGTGTATATTCCCAGAAGTGGAATTGTAGTGTCAAAAGGCAGTTCCATTTTTAATTTTTTGAGGAATTTCCATACTGTATTCCACAGTGGCTGTACCAGTCTGCATTCCCACCAACAGTGCATGAGAGTTCCCTTTTCTCCACATCTTTGCCAGCACTTACTGTTTGTTGATCTTTTAATGATAGCCATTCTGACAGGTGTGAGATGATATCTCATGTGGTTTTCGCATCTCTCTGGTGGCTAGTGATGTTGAGCATTTTTTCATGTATATGGACCATCTGTATACCCTCCTTGGAGAAAGGTCTATTCAGGTCCTTTGCCCATTTTTAAATTTTATTTTATTTTTTAATATTTTTTAATTTTATTTTTAGAGAGGGGAACAGAGGGAGAGGGAGAGGGAGAGAGGGAGAGAGACATCAATGTGTAGTTGCCTCTCATGCACCCTTTACTGGGGACCTGGCGCACAACCCAGGCATGTGCCCCAACTGGGAATGGAACCATCGACCCTTTGGTGCACAGGCCAGCACTCAATCCACTGAGCCACGCTAGCCAGGGCTCCTTTGCCCATTTTTTAATTGGGTTGTTTGTCTTTCTGGTATTGAGTCATGTGTTCTTTAGGTACGTATTTTGCAGATTAACCTTTGTCTGTTATATCATTAACAAATATTTCTCCCACACAGTAAGTTCCATTTTCATTTTGATGATGGTTTTTCACCGCTGCAGAAGCTTTTCAATTTGATGTAGTCCCATTTGTTTATTTTTCCTTTACTTCCCTTGCCCATGTAGCAAAAGTATTGGGATATCTGAAATTTTACTGTCTTTGTTTTCTACTAGGACTTTTATGTATCACAACTTATATTTATGTTTTATTCATTTTGAGTTTATTCTGGTGTATGGTGTAAGTTGGTGGTCTAGTTTCATTTTTTTTTTTGCATATACTTTCCAGTACTCCCAACACCATTTATTGAAGAGGATATTTGTACTCCATTGTATGCTCAGGCCCCCTTTGTCAAATATTAATTGACAATGGAGACATTGCTTATTCCTGGGCTCCCTATTCTGTTCCAATGATCTATGTGTCTGTTCTTATGCCAGTACCAGATGGTTTGGATTACAGTGGTCTAGTAGTATAGCTCAATGTCAGATATTGTGATCCCCTCAACTTTGTTCTTTCTCAAAATTGCTGCAGCTATTCTGGGTCATTTATGGTTCCATATAAATTTTTGAACTATTTGTTCTAGATCTGTAACATATGTCATTGGTATTTTAATAGGAATTGTGTTGAATCTTTATTGCTGTGGGTAATATGGACATTTTAATGATGTTATTTTTCCAGTCCATGAACAGGTTATGTGCTTCCATTTATTTTTATCTTCCTCAATTTCTTTCGTCAGTGTTTCATAGTTTTCTGAGAACAGGTCTTTTCCCTCCTTGGTTAAATTTATTCCTAGGTAGTTTGCTACTGTTTTTGCTATTGTAAATGGGATGCTTTTTCTTAGGTTCTCTTTTTGATAGCTCATTGTTACTGTAAAAAATGCCATCAAATTCTGTATATTGAGTTTGTATCCAGCTACTTTGCCAAATTCACATATTAGATCAAAGAGTTTTTTAGTGGAGCCTATGTACACTAGCATGTAATCTACAAATAATGGCAGGTTTACTTCTCCCTTTCCAATTTGGATGCATGTTATTTCTTCTTGTTGTCTGATCGCTGTGGCCAGGGCTTCCAATACGATGTTGAATAGGAGTGGTTAAAGTGGATACCCTTGTCTTGCTCCTGATCTTTATGGAAATGCTTTTATTTTTTGTCCATTGAGTATGATGTTGGCAGTATGTTTTTTGTATATGGCCTTTACTATGTTGAGGTATGCCCCCTTTATTCCCACTTTGTTGAGTGTTTTTATAAAAAAAAAGGTTACTTTCCTTATCAAATGCTTTTTCCGCATCTATTGATATGATCATGTGATTTTTTGCTTTCATTTTTTTATGTGATATATCACATTTATATATTTGAGAATATTGTACCATCCTTGCATCCCTGAAATAAATCTCACTTGATCATGGTGTATAATCTTTTTAATGTATTGTTGAATCCAATTTGCTAGTATTTTGTTGAGGATTTTATCATCTATGTTTATCAGAGATATTGGCCTGTAATTTGTTTCTTTGTTGTGTCTTCATTTAGTTTTGGGAATATGATAATACTGGCCTCATAAAAGAGTGAGTCTTCCCTCTCCTTGAAATTTTTGGAATAGTTTGAGAAGAATAGGTGTTAGTTCTTCTTTGAATACTTGGAAAAAAATCACCTGTAAAGTCATATGGTCCAGGGCTTTTGTGTGTCAGTAGATCTTTTTATTACTGCTTCAATTTCACTAGTTGTTATCAATCTATTCAGATTTTCTTCTTCTTCCTGATTCAGTTTAGGAATACTGTATGTTTCTAGAAACTTGTCATTTCACCCAGGTTGTCCAATTTCTTTGCATATAGTCATTCATAGCTATTTCTTACAATCTTTTGTATTTCTGTGGCATCAGTTTTTACTTCTCTTCTTTCAATTCTGATTTTATTTTTTTTATTTTTCTTGATGGGCCTGATTAATGGTTTGTCAATTTTGTTTATCTTTTCAAAGAATCAGCTCCTGGGGTCATTGATCCTTTGATTTGTTTTATAGTCTCTATGTCAGTTAATTGTGCTCTGATCTTGATTGTTTCCTGTGTTCTACTTGCTCTGGGCTTTGTTTGCTATTGTTCCTCTAGTATTTTTAAATGTAGGCTTTGGTTGTTTATTTGAGACTTTCTATCTTTTTCAGGTAGGCCTGTATTACTATGAACTTCCCTCTCAGGACTGCTTTTACTGTGTTCCATAGATTTTGGATTGTTGCATGTTCATTTTCATTTGTTTCCATACACTTTTTTATTTCTTCCTTGATCTCATTGTTAACCCATTAATTATTAAATAACATGTTATTCAGCCTCCATGTATTTGAATATTTTTGAGTTGTGTTCTTGAAGTTGATTTCTAGTTTCAAGCCATTGTGATCTCAGAATATGCTTGATATGGCTTCAATTTTCTTGGTTTTGTTAAGGCTTGTTTTGTATCCTACCATGTGGTCTATCTTTGGGAATGATCCATGTGCATTTGAAAAGAATGTATATTCTGCTTCTTTGGGGGTGAAATATACTGTAAATACCAATTAGGTCCATTTGATCTAGAGTGTCATTCAATTCTGTAATATTTTTCTTGATTTTTAGTGTAGGGCCTATCCATTGTGGACAGTAGGGTATGAAAATCCCCTGCAATGATTATATAGCTGCCTATTTCTTTCTTAAACTCCTCCAGTAATTTTTATATAGTTAGGTGCACCGATATTGGGTGCATATAAGCTTACAAGAGTTATATCCTCTTGTTGAACTGTTCCCTTAAGTACTATGTAGTGACCTTCTTTGTCTCTTGTTATGGCCTTTCTTTTGAAGTCCATTTTGTGTGATATAAGTATTGCTACCACAGCTTTTTTTTTTGTCCATTTGCATGAAATATTTTTTTCCATCCCTTCACTTTCAGTCTATGTAGATCTTTTGTTCTGAGGTGGGCCTCTTGTAGACAGCATATGTGCAGGTATGTTTTCTTATCCATTCAGCTACCCAATGTCCTTTGATTGGAGCATTTAATCCATTTACATTTAAGGTTATTATTGATAGGTAGTTATTCATTGTCATTTTTCCCTTTGTACTTCTGTTTCTCTCTCTCCATTTCTTCTTCTTAAAGTAGGCCCTTTAGCATTTCTTGCAGTGCTGAAATGGTGGAGATATACTCTTTTAGACTTCTCTTGTCTGGGAATCCCTTTATTTCGCCTTCCACTTTAAATGAGAGCCTTGCTGGATAGAGTTGTTTTGGTTGCAGGTCCTTGCTTTTAACTACTTGGAATATTTCTTGCTATTCCCTTATGGCTAGTAGTGTTTCTATTGAGAAATCAGATGATCGACTTATCAGAATTCCCTTGTATGTTACTATCTATTTCTCCCTTGCTGCTTTTAAGATTCTCTCCTTCTATTTAAATTTTACCATTTTGATTGTAATGTATCTTGGAGTATACCTCTTTGGGTTCATCTTGATTGGGATCTTTTGTACTTCATGTACTTTCATGAATTTTTTTCCCTCACCAAGTTTGGGAAATTTTCTGTTATAATTTTTTTCAAACACGTTTTCCATCTCTTGCTCCTTTTCTTTTCCTTCTGGTATCCCTATGAAGCAAATATTGTTAGCGTTCATGTTTTCCCAAAGCTCCCTTAAACTGTCCTCATTTTTGTTTTAGTTTTTTTTTTCATTTTGTTGCTCTGAGTGATTTTTTTCTACCTTGCCTTCCAACACACTGATTCTATCCTCTGCTTCATTTAGCCTGCTTTTAATTCCTTCTAGTGTGTCCTTCATTTCAGATATTTTATTCTTCATTTCCAACTGTTTCTTATTCAAGGTTTCTATGTTCTTTTTTATTTGATGTAGGTCCCACTAAGTTCCTTGTAGTTCTTACTAAGTTCCTTGAGCATCCTTATAACCATTACTTTGAACTCAATGTCTGATAAATTGCTTACCTCTATTTCACTTAGCTCTTTTTCTGGACATTCCTCCTTTTTATTCTTTTGGTGGTGGTTTCTTTTTCTCCTCATTTTAGTCTGTCTGTGTTTGTTTCTATGTATTTGATTGATTTGCTTTGACTCTGTCTTGTGAGGTGGCCTTATGTGTTAGGGGTCCTGTGGGACCCAGAGGTACAGACTTCCTGGTCTCCTGATCTGGTGTTCTAGGAGTTACCTTTGTTGGGTTATGTGGACTCTCCCATTGTATTTGGGTCCTGATAATTATCGACCTATTGATTGGTAGGAGCTCCACTCTGTCTGGATGGCTAAAGGGCTCAACCTCTACCACATGTTTTATGCTGTTGTATAGGTACTGGCAGAAGTAAGCAAAACAATACAAGTATAACATCAAAGAAAGCAGCCCCCCTGACCACTATAGCAATATCAACCACAAGAGAGCAAATAATAATAGTGGAAAGCAAAATGGAATAGTAGAGGAAGGTGAAAAGGAAAAAGAATATGAGAAGACTAAAGGAAAGAAAAGTGATTATGAGACGAGAAAGAGGAAAAGAACTATTACTTGTAATTATTGAAAGAGGAAAACAGGGAAAAAGGATCAACAGAAGTGATAACAAAAATCTAACAAGAGAGAAGGGAACAGTGGAATAATCACAGATAAGAGTAAAATAGGAGATAGTAAAGAAAAAGGGAGCACCAAAAATAAAAGAAAAAATAGATAAAAAATAAAAAGGCTAGTAAAAAGAAAAAGTAACTAAGATGAAAAAAAAAAAAAAGAACCAAGTAGATTTGTCTCAGCACAGTTTAGATCTTGCCTTCTGGTTTCTTTCTTTGGATACTGCTATGATGTCTGAGTCTGGTGTAAGCTAATGTTAGGTACTGTCCACGTTTGCCCCTTAGACACCTTTTTGAAGCTACAGGTGATCCACAGTTTGTGGCTGATTCCTCCAGGTTTGGCCATTCCCAGAATAGACTAAGCTGCTCCGCAAAACTAGCTTTTATCAGTACTGGGTCCAGGCGTGGATCAGCAAATGTCCCAAGTCACTGCAGGATCTGCTTCTGCCTATCTCTGCCTACTGACCTGCTGTCAATCTTAGACTAGTAGCAGACCCAACCATCTATGAGGGGGCTTCTGGCAGAAAAAGAGGGCTGTGATTCCAGGATCTCCTGTGGCACACACTTTTCAGACTTCAGGGAATATGGTAGGCATGTTTCCTCTCCCCCAAACCACCAGCCTGAATCTGTCCAGTATTATTTCCCTGTACTCAGCAGAGTGGGGCCCCTAGTAGGATTTTAGAGTCTATATTTTGGGTCTGCTGGACACCAGATACCAGAGGGCGTTTCATACCAGAGGGTGTTTCTATGGCTCTCTTATGAGGGGGAAGCATTAGTCTGTTTCCCAGGATAGTGTATGGATTGGCTGCAGCCTACAGCCAGGCTCTGACCACCCCGAGTCTGTTTATGTTGCTGTCCTTTCAGCAAAGGTTGAGATGCAGGATGGGAGAAAAGAAATGAAAAAAACAAAAAACAACAGAACACCAAGACAGAAAAAAAAACTGAAAAAGAACAAAAAATTTGCTGAGTGGAGCAAACATGATTTCAGAGATTACAGCAAGGGGATTTCCAGAGGGTGGGGGGAGCGGTGTCTGAAGGTGAGGTCATTGACTTTCCCCTGGGAGGGACTAGCTCTTCTCAAGAAAGTTAGCTACTGTGGAGATCAGGTATATCCTGGCCGAGTACCCCAGAGCCACTCCCCCAAGACTCTCCTCAGTGCCTCCTATTCTAGACTCTCCTTCTGTGACTCCAGTCCATGCTATACCCTCCCTCCACTGGGGCCCAAGGTGAGTAGCCACAAACACAAAACCTCTGCTTTGTCCCATTAAGGCAAAAAAAGTAGTGGGTTTATCTCTAGCACTGGGAAGTCATATCTTCCCAGTGCAGAGAGCCTCCACAGTGCAGACTCCTTGATCTCCTGACCTGTATGTTCTAGAAATGTCCCTTGTGTGGGTTATGTGGACTTTCTGCTTGTATTTGGGTCCTGATTTTTAATTGGCTCATTCATTGGTGGGAACATTTCCCCATCTGGCTGACTAAGGGGCTCAACCCTTTACCCCATGCCTTTGCCTTGAGAGGATTTCTAGGCAGGGGTTGGATCCTCAGTCAGGGCACATAGAAGAGACCACCTATCGACTCTTCTCTCTCTCACACCGACACTCTCCCCTTCTCTCCCAAATCAATAGATTATATCCTGTGTGCATCATCTTATTTCAAGTCTCATATCATCCTGATGGGGTGGCGGAAGAAAGGGAAGTGTCCAGTAATCAAACTATAACACTGGACAGTGGTATGGCACTCGTGCCACTCCTACCAGTGAGTCTCAGCCTCCAGCTTCCACTGCTGTGCTCCTTCTGTAGTCTCTGAAGCCAGGGCTGCCCTGGCCACTTCTCTCTGCCCCTGGCACACCCGTTTCCTTGGCTGATCTACAGCCTCCTCAGTCAGACTCTGTCCCGTTCATGGTTCCAGCAGTTTCTGGAGCCAGCCCTCTCCCTGGCAATTATTGAAGCCCCCAGACCCTCGCTCCCAGTGGTGGTAGAGTGCACAGCCTTGCCCAGGGTGGAGGGCACAGAGATAAGTCCAGGCTCCAAGATGCAGCTGCTCCAGCAGCTTCTTCCCCAGAAGGACATTGTAATTTCCACAAAATGCTCCAGTTCCAAATCTGTGCTGCCAGATGCACCAGGCTGGGCAGCAGCAATGGCAGGAGCTCCACCAGCAGAGCTCGGGCTGTCTGCCCTTGAGTGCCTTCCCAGGCAGACAGGCACTCGAAAACTCACACACACACCCAAACACTAGTCCGCGCACACGCTTACTCATAGCTGCTCTCACTCACACTCATCTGGGTTTTCGAGTTGATTGCTCTGTGGTTTACCTGTAAGACCAGTCCAGGGCTGGGATCAAGTAGATGGAACTTCCAGCTATTCCGCAGCCTTCTTGGAATCTTCAACATTTTTCTTGATTTTTAGGTATGAAAGGAAAAGCTAAACAAGTTGGTGACATGGGTTTCACTGGAATTAAAGGTGATGATGGGAAAGTTGTTATTCCTGGAGATGTTGGCCTTCCTGGCTCCCCAGGTACCATGCCAATGTGACAACTTTATTCTGAGAAAGTTAGGATTATCTTCAAGGCATGACTCATTCTGAATGTCTGCCTTGGTTTCACTCTTAGGACTTCCCAGGATTGAAGGCACGAGAGGAATCCCAGGGCTTTCAGGTTCTCTGGGCCACCCAGGGCCTCCTGGGGCTGTGGGACATGCTGGTGTAATAGGAACTAAAGGCATGTGTATTTTGGAGAAGACAGTGAGGACAGGGTTCCTTCTCTCAAAAAAGGACAGCAACTACTTTCTTACGAGGTACTAGCTTGGGATAAGCCATATTCAGGAAAGTTATTGACTGGGCCACATGAAGGATAATGGGAAAGGAGGATGAAGAGAAAGAAAGAGGGGCCAGCATAAATGGAAAGAGGAAAACAATTCAAAAGGTCAATGCTCTGACATATAAAAGCCTTTCCCTGATTTAGAGATTGAGCAGCAAGTCTCTGGGAGCTGGTAACTCAAGGTATTGGTACTGGCACTCTGAGTTCTTCTTGAAGAAACCTAATTATCTATTACCCTGTTCTTTAAGATACATTGGTTTCTAATAAGAGTGAGGAAAACCTACAGTGGAGTGTATAGGTTAAGTGTGGTCTAGGTCTCTCTTAGAGCATTAGGTAATGCCTCAAGAAAGACCATGATGTTTAAAATAAGGATTTTGCAATGCCCTTTGGGACAGGACATTTTGCCAGCCTTCATGAGGTAGAGTTACTAGAGCCATTTCTGCTACTGTCTCCCCTCAGGTTATCCTGGAGTTCTTTGTTTGCATGGACTAAATGGTCTTCTAGGAACCAAGGGAACCCATGGGAACTCCAGGTAAGGAAGACACTCAAGGAGAAGGAGGAGAGCACCATCTTGGCAACAGAAAACTGCAAGGGGCTGCCCCTGAGTTCTTTACTGTTGTGTATCCCTTAGACTTGGACTCATAGATCTCTTTGCCAGACCCCAATTTGAGCTGCCTTAACATGGGGACGAAAGAGGATAGGGTTTGTCCTTCTACTCAAATAAGCTCTGCTCCTTCTTATTTCAGGCAGGCCCCCAGTAAATGGCATTAGGGCTTCATCCCTCACTGAGATCTTCTACCCCCATCCATCTCTCTGTATCTCTTCCTAGGACCAAGTATAACTGGTATGCCAGGGCCAGCTGGCTTACCTGGTCCCAAAGGTGAAAAGCATTCTCCAGGAATTGGCACTGGAGTGCCTGGGAAGCCAGGCATGAAAGGAGAAAAAGGTGGTCAAGGTAAGTGAACCCAAGTCAAGCCTTGTAGAAGCTGAGTAAGGCCTGTCTGGGGATCCAGGTTTGCAGTTTGTCGGGGACATGAAGCTCAAAGGGTTCAGCTGTGCATGTCTTCATACATCTGGGAATCTTGGAACCCAGTAAAACAGACTGCTGAGGAAAAAAGGGTAGGCATGCCTAGGGCTTTCCTAAGAAGGACTGTTAGGGAGCAGCTCAGAGATTCCCTTCTAACCTCCATATTTCCTCTCTCTCCCTTATTTGAACTCAGGGCCTCTCTAGCATACTTGGCCAGAGCCTGGGTTTAATGGTCTTGAAGAAGAGAGCTTGCTCACTTAGTGGTTTGTCAGAAATTCTTCAGTGTCCATTGTGGATGGTACTCCCAGGGCCCTGGGAAGATAGTATGGCTGCTGGATGGAACCCAAAACTAACAGGATAAAAGTCTCCTTATGAAAGGCACACAGCAGGTATTCAATTATGTTTTGTTGGGTTTACGTAAAAGTTGGTTCTGCCCTAATCTCAGCCCCTAACACACATTATCAGAAGTCCTTTTTTGAGCCTCCCTTTCCTTACCTGTCAAGTAGTGAGAGAGAATTCTGATTCTTTTACTCTCATTAGGAATGTTCTGAAGACCCATATATATCCCAATTGGTATAAAAGAGGAAATTAATTTAGCATAGAATTATGATTAAGAGTATGGGCTCTGAAGTCAAGTTGCTGGATTCAAATTCTAGCTCTACCTCTTAGTAGTTGTATGACCTTGAACAAGGAAGTTACTTGCCCCTCATTTCCAAATGAACCTTTACTTTTCCTTTTCTATAAAATGAGCATAATAAGAGAATTTACCTCAGAGTTTTGGTGAGGAATCAGAGAGGAGTAAGGTAATGTATACGAAAGCACTTAGCACAATGTCTGGCACATAGTTAGGTGCCCAAGAAATGTTAGCCATTATATCATTACATGTTAACTGAGGAAACATGTTTGAAAAATGTTCCATTCCTCATAGTTTTGGGGCCTGATGTTCTATATTTTACTTATTTATGTGAATATTTGTATAATGTTCATGTTTATATAACATGTGTATGTTTTCCGGGGTCTGTATTCATATTAATTCATTTCCTGATGCATTTTTATTGGTCTATCTGCTGTCTCTGTTTATTCTTTCCTTTGGCCTGGCCCAAACTGTTCTTGTCTGAAAGCCTGCAGGTTCTCCAGAATGAGGGCTCAAACAGGGTCTGAACCTGTAGGGAGATTGTGTGACTCATTTCACAGGAGATAGAGAAGAGGGGATCCAGATAGAATCATAGGGGCAGAGGAGTTGCCTATTCTGATTTCAAATTTGAACTGTGAATGCCTGGTCATTAAATTATTCATTTCCTTTAGTATCTAAGGTAATAAAATCACAATTACAAATGCAATAAACAGCCCATGTCAGGATGGATACATTTCAGAAATGTTGGGAGAGGAAAAAAAGCAAGTACTAGAGGGATATAGTTGGTATGATTCCATTGTTAAAGGTTCACAAATAAGCAAAAACAACCAATATATTGTTTAGGATACAAATATCCATGGTCAAAGTGTGATGAGAAGGAAATGGTGAACATGAAATTCAGGAGTCAGTGCCTCTGAGAGGGAGGGAAGGTGGTAGGATCTGTGAAGGGCATGCAGACAAAGGTAATATGACTTTTTTCTTACATAATTGGGGGGTTGGAACAGATGTTCATTGTATCTGGGTTATTTTTTACTTATGATTTCTAAATATTCTTCTGCTTTTCTCAATATCTGTCTCTGACTTGATCATAGAAATCAGTGTAAAATGAGGATATACCCCTGAGGAAACTTCCTAGAGCAATTTCTGACTCTACAATACCTTTATCTAAATAATTTATTTTTATTTTTATTGTTTTTTTACTTTTATTAGTATTTATTTTATGCTGAATTTACTCCCAGGCCATACGATTCTCTTTCTTCAGTTTCTTCTGGGATATCCTTTTCTTCTGCACAACTTCCTCTTTGGTTTAGGAACAATCTGCTCCTTTTCAGTGAGGATCCTCTCAGTGAGGCAGGAAGAGCTCATGCATGGGCTAATCCACCCATGAGCTCTGTAAGTTTTATGCTGCATCTTTGGAGCCTTGTTCACCTGGATGTGCTCAATGACCAGAGAATCTACATCTAAACCCTTAAGTTCAGTATTATTCTCTGCATTTTTAAGCACGTGCAGCAAAACTCGGCACTCTTTGTGGGCCACCGACCCTATGTCCAGCCCCACTGTTTGGCCTGGGCACACCTACCAACTCCACCATTGTATCGATGGAATGGGACACATTGCTGCTTTAAAGTGACATCTTTCAGATACTTGGTGGCTTTTGGAAAATTCATCTCGATGGATTCACAGGTGTTCTTAAAGTGAACATGAAGATTTGAACATCTTGATTTGCATGATTTTGTGGGGCTTTCTGGGTCAATTGAATTGAACCATTCTCAGAGGTCACCTCTGGTCGCTTTCGGAAAGAGCTAAATAATTTCAAAATACACCATTTATTTGTACTCACTATTTAGAGGCTGACTTTGTACATTTAGGGTTTTCTAAGTCTCTGACACTGGAATGAGTTGGAAAACTGTGCATCTTGCATTTTCATATGATCACTTAGAGTGTCTTAATGAGTTTTTTTTTCCTACTTGAGGTCAGTAGTAATACCTTTATTTCAAGTTTAATGGTAAATTGTGTAATTATAAAATAAACAGGTAAAAAAGGAGGTGGTTCCAAAAATTGAAATGGAAATTTTTATAATCCATGTGCTGCCCACACTCATTCTACTATACATGGTGTCTCATTTAGTAGTTTTGCATAATTTCAGCATATATTTTTTTTCAGGAAAAAACCCAATATGTCTCTTTTCAGATTTTTACTTTTGTGAAGATGAAAAATAATTCAAAGATTTTTCAAGAGACACTTGACAATATTATAAGTAGCACCATGTGGCTTGGCAACAAGTTCTCCTTTATATTTTTTAATTGTTTCTTTTTTCGACCTGTAATAATTGGAGACTTTTCTTGAAATGTGTTTTTTACTTCTCTTTATTCTCTCAGCATTCAATTAATTAATGAGCTATTAAAAACACGACCAGTCTACCATTTTTCTTTACAAGTTTTCATGGATTTACCTTTACTATTCCTAACCTAAATATGAGGAAGTCAGCATTAATATAATCAGGTTGTCAAAAATAAATGCAACTGATATTTTTGGATTTTCTTGTCACAAACAAAAAATAAGACTCTCAACCATCAGAATAATTTATCAACCAGCTTGACTATTTCCCTTCATTTTACTATCTTCTAAAATATACCAAAGTAATAAGTACATTTCTTCCATGATAAAAGTATAATATGAACTTCTACATTTGTGTGTATGGCTTTGATATGTTTTTTCATCAAGAGTTCCATCTATGTATTCAATGTATGTATTAAATAAATCTTCTGTCATCAGTTGAATGTTTTTGTTTTGAACATATTATAATAGAAATCATTCTACAAACAGAACACTTGTAAAGCAGTATTAAAATTTGAGCAAACAAGTATTCTGTATCTACTCTAATACATGACTATTCTCTTTGGCCAAAAAGGGGGAAGGGACTTAGTACAGAGAAATATGTTCTCTAGCCTTAGTTAAGCATGCATTCAGCTAATATGAATTTACCTATAAAAGTATTTTCCAGTTTTCCTAGAAGATCTAGAAGTTAGCCCTACAAGACATTAGGAGGCTCAGTGCCCTGGGCGCCTTCATTCTAACCCAGCAGGTATCTATTCTGACTAGTTGGGAATTGTGCCCCACCTCGATCTGTAACCTTTTCTGAACAACATCAGACATAACTAGCTAACTTAATGAAATTTGCAACAGGAACAATAGATTTAAAAACACTTTGGGAATCTTCCATTCCATGTGCTGCAGTCATGCCTTTTTTTCCTGATTTGGAGGAAATCTAAAATATTTCCATTATCGGTGAGATAGGGGAGCTAGAACTTTCCAAAGCTCTATACCAATTAAATGCAGCACCTGCTATGAAGAAGGAGTCTCTGAACCCTGTCAGCTACTTTATCTGCTGGCTGCCAAAGTAGAATGAAGGGAGAAGAACCTTCTGTTGGTGTCTGCTGGTCTGGCAACTACCTAACCATTTCCATTTTCTGTGTAAATGTCCACTTTCTCTGAGAGAACCTGGCCCTCTGCTGGGCACAGAAAGTCCACGCAGCTCTTTTTATTTGTTCTTTGCAGGTTTTCCAGGTCTCAAGGGCCCTGCTGGTCCCCCTGGTGCCCTAGGCCTCTCTTTGCCATCAGTCATAGCAGCACAGCCTGGAGACCCTGGGCGACCTGGCCTGGATGGAGAACAAGGTAAAGACGGGAAGACCAAAAGGGAGCTGGCCATCACCTTTTATCTGAAGTTTGGGGAGGTCCCATACACGGTCCAGCTCCATCTCTATGGCTGGACACGCATGGGCCTGCTGGCCTCACACCCTTCCCCCAGCCAGGACATGGAAGACGGGAATACGCTGCATTTTGCTAAAAAGGTCTGGGAAGGTCTGCACACAGGGGCCACACAGATGGAAAAATAACATTCTCTGCCCTGGGGATGAGAATGTTTGGCTTCTTATCAGTCCCAAGGCTTTCAGCAGTGGCTACTTCCTGCTCTCCTGCCCCTACTTATCACTCTTCCTATCTCATCCCTAGGCCGTCCAGGTCCTCCAGGGCCCCTAGGTCCTCCTGGGCCATCCTCTGATCAAGGTGACCCTGGAGATCCTGGCTTCCCTGGAAATCCTGGCTCTAAAGGGCCCAAAGGACACAAAGGAATTCCAGGTTTCTCTGGCCTCCCTGGAGAGCTAGGACTGAAAGGTATGATTGCTAGCTTGGCTGGCTGCTGGACCCTGTCCCATTCTACAATCAGACATGACTTATTCCTGTAGCCCTGTGAAGAGAGGCCAGCTGATAATGCTCTTCCCACCCTCATCTCAGCCTAGTCTCTACTCCCTACCAGCAGTACCACTATGCCAGGCTCTGATTTGCTTTCCTTTGGACTTTGTCAGGTATGAAAGTTGAGCCTGGCTTCATGGGGACTCCAGGCAAGGTTGGGCCACCTGGAGACCCCAGGATTACGTGGGATGAAGGGGAAGGCAGACCCAAGAGGTGAGCTGAAAATGTGTGCTGGGCTTGTTCAAGAGAGGGGTTTGAAGGAAACACTCCTTCAGGAGTCACTGCACACCACTCCAAGAAAGCCTGGATGCATGAAACAGCTCAATTAAGTTCCTCCAGGGAAGCAATTTGGGGATACTTCTGCCTCCATCAGCTCCTAGGACTGAAAACCACTGCTACTTTGCCACCGTGCATCCTGCCACTGGTCTCCCCATTCTGCATTAGTGGGCATTGTGTTTGTATTCAGATCACTACTCACCCATTTCCTCAATCCAGAAATGAACCATCTTTCCCATCCTTTACCACCACCTCTGTCACTCACAGACATCCAATGCATTAGCAAGCCCTGAGGGTTGTATATCCTAAATGTGCTTTGTATCCACTCACCTCTTATCACCTCCACCACTACTATCCAGGTCCAAGTTATAGATATTTCCCACATGAAATCACTGTAGTGACCTGCTAAATGGTCTCCCTGTTTCTGTTGTGTACCTCTCCCAACAGTCATTTCTCCACACAGTGGTGAAAGAGATTTCATAAAAACTTAAATCATCCGCTGGCTTCCCATGACATACAAATAAACAAATTATGGCCACAAAGCCCTATGTGATGCCTCCCTCCCCTTTGCAGCTCTCTGTGCTCACCTGGCCACTGAGCCTTTGCACATGCTACTTCTAGTTCCTGAAATACTCTTGTACCACCCCCCAGCTCTTTCTAATGCTTCAATGGTCTCAGCTTAAATGTTACTGCTTATAAAATACTACTTATCACTCTCTCTAAAGCTAGTTCTCCACCTCATAGCCCTGTCCTCCCTGCAATTGTCATTTCACTGTTTATTTCCTTTGTAGCACTTCTCACAGTTTGCAGTAATATTAATGATATTTGTCAGGTTGTACATTTTTCATCTTTATCACCAGACCATAATGTCCATAAACATCTATTTTATTCACTGCTCTATCCCCTGATCTATGCAGTAGGCACTCAAGAAATTTATTCAATAAATTAGTAAGCAAATTGGTTTGTTTGGCTTTAATAGTAAGGCAGCTACCTAGGTTTGGGGTTCTAGGCTGTGATGCCAACTGAACCTCTAGGATTGCAGATGTCCCCTTACCTTCCTTTGCACTGTGTTCTTACCAGCGAGTGAGTAAACCAACCATCCCAGCCCCCAGCCAAGTCCCAAACTACCATATTTACAACAAACATTTCCTGATTTGCCTACTATATACCAGACCCTGAGAAGAAAAGATAAATACAACTTAGGTCTTACCCTCAAGGAGCTACCAATCCACTGGGCATTGGGTAAAGAGAACGTTGTGTGGTATTCAGTGGGGACTGTGAGGACAAAGAGGAAGAGCAGACAGCTGGCGATTATGAGGCAGAAAGGAAGGCTTCCAGGGACCAACTTCAGCTGCCTCCTCGGCATCAGTCTGACATTTCCATTCCCCTTACCTGCCCATAGGCTTTTCTGGCCCCCGAGGTGCTCCTGGCCAAACACCAATTGCAGAAGCCATTCAGGCTCCTCCTGGACCCATGGGTCTACAGGGTATTGATGGCATCCCTAGTCCCATGGGAGATCCTGGAGTTTGAGGCCCTGTAGGCCTACAAGGTAAGGTTGGTGCCTCAGAAAGGGGAACTGAGACAGCCTTGGCTGAGAGGCTGAAAAAAATGGCTAGAAAGCCCACATCTCAGGGGGTGCTTTCCTCAAGCATTTCCTATGCTCCTCACAGACCTCTCAAGCTTCTTTGGAGGAGGAAGGGCCAGCAGAACCAGCAGTTGTACTTGGTTTTAGAGAACGTGTGGACAGAGCATAGCGGTTACTCCAGACAGCTTGACCCCCACTAACATGCTGCTGAGAGGAGGAGGGAGTGTGGCAGAGGATGAAAAACAATGGAGAAAGCCCAGGGCTGTGGGACAGGAAACCTGGCTTCTAATCTATTTTCCCCCTCCCCAACTAGAATAAGTTAGTAGTCTCTCTTGGTTTACATGTCCTCATTTCTGACATGAGATGCCAGCAATGGCCTTGCTTTCTTCCCAGCATTGCTGGGAGGATAAGAGGAAGGGAGAAGGAAATAAATATGAAGTGGATCAGAAGAGCTAAGTTTAGAGTGCAGTCCCAGGGCCCAGATGCCCCAACATGAACTAACGATTAGCCCAGGAATCTCGGCCCTTAGCTCAGTTTGTGTTGCAACATCATGGCCTGTGTGCCCTCTCCTGGTGAGTCCTGGGCATGACATACGAGTCCCCTTTTTCAGGAGTGCTCCTCCAGACCCTCCATATTGAGTACCCCACTGTGGGCCTTCTCTCTTTGCAGGCTCCAAAGGTTTACCTGGCATCCCTAGCAAAGATGGCCTAAGCGGGCCCCCTGGCCCACCTGGGCCTCTTGGTGATCCTGGTCTTCCTGGACTGCAAGGCCCTCCAGGTTTTGAAGGTCTGGCAATGTCGGCACTAGGGGGAGAGGGCTTCTGTGAGGGTTAGGGGCTTGGTGGTGAGTTAAAATCTCAAATTTGAGAATTAGGAAATTGACACTGCCCAGAGGCTGGAAAACAGGGCACAAATTCATTCTCTCTGAGCCTGTGAAGGATTAGAGCCCTACATTCTTGAAGACAAAGTCCTGTTCCAACTCCTTTTATGGGTTGTCTTCTACTTTTCTAAAATTAATTTTATTTTTAAATCATGTTTATTCTATTACAGTTGTCTCAATTTTCCCCCTTTTCGTTCCTCCATCCATCCCACCCCCGCCACCCCATAGTCAATTCCCACTCTGTTGTCCGTTTCCATGGGTCATTCATACATGTTCTTTGTCTAGTCCCTTTCCCTTCTGTCCACCGTTGTCCTCCTTCCCCTTCCCCTCTGGTCACTTTCACTCTACTGCATGTTTCCGTGCCTGTGGTTTATTTTGTTCGTTAGTTTATTTTGTTGAATAGATTCCACTTATAGGTGAGATGATATGGTATTTCTCTTTCACCAACTGGCTTATTTCACCTAGTGTAATATTCTCTAGTTCTATCCATGTTGTTGCAAAAAGTTGGAGTTCCTTCTTTCTTTTTTAATGCAGATTGATTTTATTATTTTTTAAATGTCAAGATCCATTATAAAATATTAAAAATTTAAATCCTTTATAAAGTCTCAGCAATCATGACACATACACAGAAATAATCAAGTAGATCAATGAAATAAAATGAGCATTCTAGAAACAAACGTATATATCTTTCTAACAATGTAATATATGATTAAACTGACATTTCAAATCAGTGGGGAAAATAAAGCTTATTCAACATATAAGGTGCATGGATCACTATTACTTGAAATAAAACAAATATAGAGACCTATTTCACAGATTATAAAAGAAATATTCAGGTGAGTTAAAAATCAATATATAAAATCTAAGGAGTTTTAGGAGAAAATACAAAATAATATTTTTCTTACCCTGAAGTAACATATTCAAACCCAGAAGCTATAAAGTAAAATCTTGACAATATGACTCTATTAAATATTTAAGACTATACAGTAATATTCATGTAAAAAAAGTTAAAGGACAAGTAATAGAATAGGAAAGTATTTGTAACACATCTATAAAAGGGTTAATAGTTTGTTTGTTTTTCTTTTCTTTTAGGGAAAACATTCTACAAACATTTAATCAAAAAATGGGTAAGGAATACCAAAAAGTCATTTAAAGCTTCTTTTAAAAATAATAGAAATAGGCAAGAATTATGCAAAAACAGGTTAAGTATCAACAAATAATTAACAATTAAAATAATACATCATCGTGGCAATCAGATTAATAAGTATTAAAAATATTGGTAATATCAAGTATTGGTGACTGTGAGAGAAATGTGTATTCATAGACTCTTTTTCTTCATCTTCTTAAAGCAGTCCCTTTAGCATATCTTGCAATGCTGGTTTGGTTGAGGTGTACTCTTTTAGCCTTCTTTTGTGTGAGAAGCTACTTACTTCGCCTTCCATTTTAATTGAGAGCCTTGCTGGGTGGAGCAGTCTTAGTTGAGGCTTTGCTCTTCATGACTTGGAATATTTCTTGCCATTCCCTTCTGACTTGTAGTGTTTCTGTTGAGAAATGAGCTTCTTGCCATATTGGGGCTCCTGTATATGTTATTACCTCTTTCTCCCTTGCTTCCCTTAGGATTCTCTGTTTGTATTTGATGTTTGCCATTTTAATTATGATGTATCTTGGAGTGGGCCTCATTGGGTTCCTCTTGAATGGGACCCTCAGTGCTAACTGGACTTTGTGACTTTTTCTCTCCTCCAATTAGGGAAGTTTTCCATGATTACTTTTTCAAATAGGTTCTCTATCCCTTGCTCCTCTTCTTCTTCTTTCTCCTCCTCCCCTTCCTCCTTTTTCTTCTTTTTCCTCCTTCTTCTTCTTCCTTCTTCCTCCTCCTCCTCCTCCCCTGCTCTTTCCCCTTCTACTTCTTCTTCTTCCTCTTCCTCCTCCTCCTCCTTCCTCCTCCTTCTTCTTCTTCCATCTTCTTCTCCTTCCTTCTCTTCCTCCTTCTACCCCTATTATCTGGATATTATTACATTTCAGGTTGTCCTGCATTCCTCTAAATTCCTCTTAATTATTTCTGAGTCTTTTTCATTTTCTTGCTCTGTCTGGGAACTTTTTTCGACCCTGTCATCCAGCTCGCTCATTCAATCCTCTGCTTCATCTCGCCTGCTTTTGATTCCTTCTACTGTGTTCTTCAATTCAGAAATTGTATTTTTCATTTCCTCTTTGTCTCTTATTGATAGTTTCTATGTCCTTTTTCACACTGATATAGTTTGCAGTAAGTTCCTCATAGTTTCCCTGTAGTTTTGTAATTCTCTCTGATCTCACTGAGCTCATTGAGCTTCCTTAGAACTGTTGTTTGGAACTCAATATCTTGCTAAACTAAATAGTTTACTTGCCTCTATTTCATTTAGTTCTCTTTCTGGGGATTCCTCCTTTCCTTTCTACTGTGGGGTGTTTCTTTTTCTTCCATTTGTGAGCATTTTTTTTTCCTTCTGCTTCTTACATTGATTTGTCTTGATCTGACTTTGTGGTGTGTACTTCTATGGTAGGAGACCACTATTTTTTCTTTCTGGATCTGCCTCTATGATGTCAAATGTTGACCCAGTCTTACCTTAGGCAGTCTGTTTGAGACATCCAGGAATCTACTGTCTGTGGCTGTCTCCTTCAGCTGTTAATCTAGTCTCTCTGCACTCAGCAGGCCAGCTTAGAGACACCACAGGGCAGGGCAGAGTCCCTCCTGAGGGTGGGGCTATTAGGTCCTCTCACGCTGCTGCCTCTCAGGGGAGTAGTCTGCCTGAGCCAGATGGCTGCTGCCATATGGGGGAGGAGTCAGCACCAGGATCCCGCCCAGCTACTCTCCATTCTCTCCCCAAAACCTTCATCTCCAGTCTCTCCTCAAGTGTCTCTAGACCACTCTGCACCCCCTTTAGCCAGGGATCTACTATCTGTGGCTGCCACTTTGTACTCAGCTGTCAGGTTTTAGCACAGCTGGACCTAGGTGGAGCCTCCTGGGGACAGGGCTATTTGTCCTTTCATGCTGTTGCCACTCAGGGGAATGGTCTGCTTGAGCAAGATGGTTGCTGCCATAAGGGGGATGAGTCAGCACTGGAATCCCACCAGCTACTCTCTCAGTTTTCTCCTCGAAGTCTCTTTCCCCAGTCTCTCCTCAGGCATCTCTAGCCCACTCTGCCCCTGCCTTTGCCAGAGCCCAGGATAAGTGGCTGCATATAAACATGTATGCATTAGCCCTTTAAATGGCTCTTTGCATCTCCAGCTGCCCATTTCTGGCAGAGAGCAACCCTGCTGCTTTTTGCAGCTGGCTTTATCTGTGTACTTTCTGGGCTCTGGTGCTGTAGGCTGGAGATCCCTGCTTATGGTTTAGACCCCGCTCTTCTCAGGGGGATCCAACTGGCCGTTTCCATATCCTTCTGGTGCTGCTGCCCGTGGGTGCCCCGCCCGCCTTCTCAAGTCTGTACCGCACTCCTTACCAGTCAGGTTGGGCTAAAACTGATTCTCTGTTTGCCCAAGGTTAAAAGGCTCCTCTCTTGCTATTGTTCAGTTGTTTGTTCCAGGTGATTTCTCCACAATTTAGTTGTAATTCCAGGTTGGTCCTGGGAGGAGGTCAGTGTGACTTCCACTCACTCCTCCACTATCTTGATCCTCCTCCATCTTCCAGCTCTTAAGAGCCCTGACTGTATTGTACAGCATGGCTTCTTGCCTTGCACCTCCCTTTTTCTACCGAGGGATTGTGATGTGGATCAATGTGTGGTTCAAGAGATAAGAAAATTTGAGATCAGATATATTGTTTTGCTACTTACCTCCCATCTTACATCAGAGATAGCAAATCAGTTGTCCTGATTAGAGAACAGCTCTGAGGCTCCTTAGGAATGTGGTGTGATCATTTGCCATGGGAAGGGGAGGAGGTATGATTTTGTCCTGCTAATCCTTGCTCTTCTTTTGTTGCCTCTGATTCAATATGTAAAGGTGCTTAGTTACCTCCTATGAGGGCCCTGGCCTGAGAAGTAAACCCCTCCGCCCCTTCTTAGAGAACCCAAAGCCAGGTGACTGTGGAAGGGAAGTTGGATAGTGTGCTTTTTAAAATGGGGATTCTGTAACTGGATATAGCACTCCCCCATTATCTGTAAGGGATATATTCTGAGACCCCCAGTGGATGCCTGAAACCACAAAGAGTACTGAATTCTATATATAGTGGTTTTTTCCTATACATGCATAGCAATGATAAAGTTGAATTAAGAAATTAGGCATAGTAAGAGATTAACAATAATAATAAAATAGAACATTTATAACAATATACTGTAATAAAAGTTATGTGAATGGATTTGGGGTCATTATTAAGCAAAATAGGGGTCACTTGAACTAAAGTGACCTGGTAACTGAGATGGCTACTAAGTGACTAATGGGCAGGGAGCATATACAGTGTGGAAACATTGAACAAAAGGATGGTTCACATTTTGGGCAGGACAGAACAGGATGGTGCAAGATTTTACTGCACTACTCGGAATGGCAAGCAGCTGCTTAAAACTTATGAAGTGTTTAATTCTGAAAATTTCTATTTAATATTTTTGAACTGTGGTTGACCACAGGTAACTGAAACTGCAGAAAGCAAAACCCCAGGTAAGGGGGAACTACTCTCCATCTAAATTGGCCTTCTAGCTCCACACTTGCTAGCTGTGGGACCTCTGAGCCTCAGTCTCCTCATCTACAAAGTGAGGTGATGAAATTGTGCCTTTCTTAACACTCAGCACAAAGTGAGTAGCTGCTATTATTATTGGCTACAACTGTCTCACCCCTTTTCTGCTCTTTCCCTCTCAGGATCTCCTGGAAAACAGGGCCCCTTTCGGAAGGCTGGATTGCGTGGACAGAGCGTGAGAGTGGGCTACACCTTGGTGAAGCACAGCCAGTCAAAACAGGTGCCCCTGTGCCCCTCTGAGACGACCCAGCTGTGGTTCAGTTACAGCTTGCTGTTCGTGGAGGGGCAGGAGAAAGCCCACAACCAGGACTTGGGTGGGTACTGATTCTCACAGCCAATCCTAGCCATCTGTCTCCACAAGAACCAAGAGACATGCTCTTCACTTACCCCAGCCCTTGAGGGGCCCACTGTTGGGTAGTGGGTTACAAGCACCAGCTCTGGAATCAGATCTATGTTCTAACACTAGTCATGTACCTGGGGAAAGTTATTCAACCTCTAAGCTTTCACTTCCTCCTGAAAGGAACAAGGCTAATTCTAGTACCTATCTCATTAAGTGGTGTAAGGATTACATATTTCACCCAATGTAAAATGCTTAGAACAATGTTTGGCACATATTAAGCACCCCAAAATGTTAGTCATTAATAGTAGCAATAATAAGATGACCTATGAGGCAAGGATAATTACCCAAGAATTAATTGTGTAGTCTACAGGTATACTAATTCTGAAAAGCAGACTCACTCTAGTAAATGCTGGCTTTACAAAGAACATTAATTCAGGAGATATTATTCAGTTTATAAAAATATTATTTTCATTATCAAACTTCCCTGGTGCAGTAAAAATAGGATTTGATTAACAGACTTCAGTATGTGTAGTATTCCAGGATGGGTAGGAAAGGTGTCCCTGCTCTGGTACAAGTGGTTGAATGTAAAACCAAACCACCATCCAGCTAAGTCCTAGTAGCCCTAGGCATAGTCCCAGCCCTACTCCTGCCTACCTTATCTCCTTCCAGGGTTTGCTGGCTCCTGCCTGCCCCGCTTCAGTACCATGCCCTTCATCTACTGCAACATCAATGAAGTGTGCCACTATGCCATGCACAATGATAAATCCTGCTGGCTCTACACCTCTTCCCCCATCCCCATGATGCTCATCAGCCAGACCAAGATCCCTCAGAACATCAGCCACTGCTCTGTGTGTGAGGCACCCTCACAAGCCATTGCTGTGCCCAGCCAGGATATCACCATTCCACAGTACCCCCTGGGCTGGCACAGCCTCTGGACTAGGTACTCCTTCCTCATGGTAAGGCCCCTGACCCCAGTGTAGAGGCAGAGGGCAGGGATCTCTGGGAGGGTCCCTCATACTGACTTCCAGACTCAAGGGACACGGAGTAGAAACCACAGAGTTTGAAAGTAAGGAAAATGCTTGGCCTAGGCTTGGCTATAGGCCAGAGAGCCCAGTTATGCATGAATGACAGGTAATTACAGGTATGAGTATAAAGGAACAGTTTGTGCCCAGTGGTTCATGGGTGAGAATATCTATGTATCACCAGTTGGACAGCAAAGGACAAGCTGTACCTGCTTAGGGCAGGGACACACTCTCATTGGTCAGGCTGGGCATGGCACTCCATTCTCTTCTGCCCACTTTCCCTCTAGCCATTGCCACCTCCTCCCAAAAGGCTCAGATGAGGGCATGCTCTGTTTCCATGTTCTTGCTGGGGTTTCTGCTGCCTTGCCATTTCTGGTGGGAAGGCAATGGCCAACTATGCTGTAAGATAGAGCTCAGACTATCTGTAAGCCTAAGGAAACATCAGATCCCTCAAATGAAATTCCATGAGTAACTGGGGACATTAAATGAGTAAAAAGCAAAGTTTAGGGCCAGGATAACTCCCAGAGCAAACCACTGTGGTATCCACTGAAGGAAGTACTGGCTTCACCAGAGGTTCTTCGCTAAATCACCAGGGGTGAAATGGTGAGAGAATGTCTTTGAAGAATTACCAAACTTCAGTCTTCCTCACATTAGTTACCTACCTGGGGTAAGGTACTTCCATTTTTGCTTTATCTTTGTGAATTGGGAAGTTTGTCCCAAGTAAATACAGAAACATTCACCTATCAGTCTGTCCTGTCCATTGAGATTCCACAAGGAATGGCACAAAAGTTATGTATGAAATCTCATGTACTTTGCTCATAGGAGTGCTCTTAAACCCTTATTCAGAATCTCTTTTACTGTACACATAATTCTAACATACTAGAATATGACTATATATATTCTGAAACGTGCAAGGGTAGGAATTTGGACTACCTAGTAAGTCATGCTGAAGCAATGATACTTGCCTACTGAAAGGGATGAACGATGGAGAAAATGATTCAAAGGCCACCCAAGAACTCTACAAGCCTAGTCTCTTGGTAAAGGGTCCCTGCATACTCCTCCAAAGCAAAAGCTGACATTCATAGCAACAAGCCTGGGTCATATGCAAATTGTAAAATACAGTGTCTTTTGTTTAGTAAGGCAGGGTAATGTGTCATTCATGCTAGAAAGTTTTCTACCTGAGGAGCAAAATGAGGAAAAGTCTGATGCTTCATTTATTAGGAAAGGTCACTTTTATGGAGACACATTTTGCCGAAGTTCTGCAAAGAAAGGTGTTACTGTGTGTCTGACTTAGGCCTTAGTCTCATTGGCCATTTGCTGGCCTGGATATGTATGAGGCCTCTTTCCCACTTCCTGTGGTCCAGATAATAACCCAGCTGAGGTGAGAGGGAGGGGACAGGTGTAGAGAGAGGGGGCTTCTGTCTATGAACACAGTGACCAGAAATTATCAGTTCATGAGTGGCACTGATGAGGAAAACCCGGAACTGAATGCTGTGGTAACTTCCTAGAGTGAGAACCAGGTTGTTAGGCCTAATCTGAGGCCAACATGTACACAGCAGGTAACAAACACTATATGCCACCCTAAACATTGTGGTACAGATTGAAAATATAAGGGAGGGTCCAATGGCTTAACCACTATGTGAAATATTATGTGCTCCTTCCCTTCTTGGCATATACTACCAGGGTCTTGGAGTAGACAAAGTGCTCTAAGAAGAAAGTCATTTTGAAACCTATTGAATTTTCCTTAATTCAGCCTTTCTCATGCTTATGTATCCATGGAATTCGAAGGGTGGAGCAACAGCTGCCCCCCTTGCCTGAGGAGGCACCAGCAGTTTGGGAAATGCTAGCTGAGATGTGGTTGCAGCCCATGAGCAGTGGGATGGGAGGACACCAGGGATCTTGGAGGGATGCTCCTGGTCCTGAGGCTACTGCAAAGGAGAATGAATGGCCCAGGTCCTAAAATACAGCCTTTGGTCTGCTGGCTAGACAGTAGGGTTGAGCCAAAGGGCCTGAGTTTAGGAATGAAGCCCATATCCTTTCTGGAGCAGCAGATTGCCCATCATCTCCCACGGGTCCAGCTCACACCTCACCCTTGTCCATTTCAGTACACTGCTGTTGGTGCCGAGGGTGGAGGCCAGTCCCTGGTCTCGCCTGGTTCCTGCTTAAAGGATTTTCATGCCACTCCTTTCATTGAATGCAGTGGTGCCCGGGGAACCTGCCACTATTTTGCCAACAAGTATAGTTTCTGGCTGACGACAGTGGAATAGTGGCAGCAGTTTGGAGAGAAACCTGTACTAGAAACATTGAAAGCTGGGCAGCACCATACACGAGTCAGCCACTGCCAGGTGTGTACGAAAAGCCTATAGGGTGGCCCCTGCCACTCTTCCCCTTGCTCTCCCTTCCCCCACACAGTAGTCACCTCACAAACCCAAACCATCTCAAAAAGGAAGGCCTAAACCCATTTGCCTATCTGACAAGTTGTACATTGGAGTCTTGTTTGGGCTGGACTACTGGACACTAGTTATGCCAACCCTCAAACCCAATGGGTAAGCCCTCCCTGATGAGATCTGCTGTCCTATTTCTATCAACCTGGTGGTACCATTTGATTTGGATGTTTGCATGACTATCCACAGCTACGTCAAAAAGACCTGCTGGGCTGCCACTTTCTTAGACTGCTAGCTTTCCTTACCGTCTTGATCACAAAGTGTTTCTATAGTAGCTGATAAGTCATCTCTTTATGTCCAGAGGTCACCACACATTATTTGGCTTAAACCAGAACCTAGTGTTTCCACATGAAAAAAAAAATTACCTAAGGATTCATGGATGACTAAAGTCTGCACAGAGCAAGCCCTCAGTTTTCAAGAAAACCCACTGTGTCTAGGCAGGCAGCAGAGCTGGAATGAGGTGCCAACCAGTAGCCCAGGGTGAGCTTTGACTACTTTGAGAGTGAGCACGACTGGGCTCCAAATTACTTAGGGAGGTTTGAAGGCCAGCAGCCAAGAAAGGCTCATTAACTTCATATTGTCCTAGGCAAATCACACCCTCCTTACCATCTTCTTCCCCAGGCAGAGACCTATATGACTTGGCCTGGTCCAGAGTAGAGGATGCATCATATGTGGCCAGGGCCATAAAGGGAAATGAAAACCACAGTCTTTTCTCCCAGGCTAGGGGTAGAAGGTTGGATGGGTAAGGAGGTATGAATTTTACTTTTGACTCCAGGAACAAAAAGGTAAATCCCTCATCCCAATTTCTCAGAAGTCCCTGTTTAATTCAAATGCCATCCAGATATGTGTAGTGTAGCAAACTGAAGCTGCAGTTTGTTGGTGCTTTTGCATTTTGAGGCTGTTAGAGACTTTCCATTAAAATGTCCATCCAATTGCCCTTTTACAGGTAGCCCATTAAGCTATTTTAATACATTTTTAAAACCTAAATCAAGCCTGAGTTGAGTGTAAAGTGTATTGTGTTCTGTTTGTGGGGGGGTTTGTTTTAAGCACTTTCTTTAATTATCAGTTTCCCAGAATACTTGGCTATGTTGACATAAGGCAATACCTCCCAAATGATTCTGTTTCCTTAACTATTATGTAAATTGTGCCACACAAACAAAAATTAATCAGTATATTCTGAATTATTGTTACTTCACCTCCTCTCTAAGTGATAAGCATAGTGTTGGCTTTATATATTGCAAATTAAACAAATTAAATATGAACATTTGACTTTTGATGTTCTTTGATGAAAGCTTGTCTAAAGTCCATCTCACTATGTAATTCATGAGTCCCCCTATGAGCCATGGGGGCTCCTGTTACTGTAAGTTGAACGTTACAACAAAACATTGAGGCAGGAAAAATACAATTAAAGTCAAAGGACAAAAAGAGTTCTCTTACAGGCAACAAATCCACAGCCTGTTTCAGATAAGCCTACAATTGCTTTTAGCCCCATCACATGTTAGAGTCAAGAAAGGAGTTTCCATATTTTTGGGGCTTCAGGATCACTTTCAGATAAATCAACAGTAGAGAAATGTTAAAGTCATTAAAATCAAATATAAGATATATATGCATGTATTTGTACAATATATGTGTAAAATATATCCACTAGGAAGATAAAAATTAATGACATAGGCAATGCACCAGGGAATGGAACTGACATATGGGAGGAGACATTTCACTGAATACCATTTTGAATCTTTTGAATTTTGAGCCACTGAAATACATTACCTACTAGGAAAAAAGGAAAAAATTGGAATCTAAGGAAGCAAGTGCTATAATATTCTTAAATATACAAAAAACAAAAACAAAAACAAAAACCTGCAAACAACGTTGATTTGGTGCTAGCTTTCCAACTGCAGGCCTTCCACAGAACTTTGTTGAGGATGGAGGTGAAATTCATACACATTAATAGGAAAAGAAAAAACTGGGAAGACACCACTGTGACTTGAGGTGCATCCACACAAGCGAGTGGGTGGCAGGGACAATATGATGAATATGTGCTTTAAAATTTAATATGTTGCTAATCCTTAAATGGTTTGGAATTGTATTCGATACATAGATTAAATGTCACCACATGAATAATTCTTTCTAATATGGCTATCAACCAAAATGGAGTCTAATTCAACTACAGTTTTTAAGTTCTCAAACAAATATCAATATTTTAAGACAGTGATTGGCAAACTACAGCCTGTGGGCTAAATCTACCATCCACCTGTTTTTGTAAAGACAGTTTTATTAGCCTACAGCCAGGCTCAGATTGTCTATGGCTGCTTTTGTACTTCCAACAGCAGAGTTAAATAAATATGACAGAGGCAACATGGCCTACAAAGCCTGAAACATTTACTATCTGGTCCTTTACAGAAAAAGTTTGCTGACCCGTGATCTAAGCAATCATGATTTGATTTAAGGGCAGGGTGATGTCTCACAAAAGTATCAATAAGGAAGGGAACAGTGGGTAACACATTAACTAGTAAGGTTCCCCCAAAGAGTCAGGAGATCAATAAATCCATATTTGATGTAATTTCTTTGACAAATTTTCTGATATAAATTATAATTAAATATAATCAATTAAAATACATGTTCAAATAATTTAACAAGAATTTTTTCTCCCTGATGTAATCACTTTATTATTAGAACAAAGGAATAGACTGCTTCTTAGTATTTAGCCCAAAAGAGGTCACACCTGAAAGGGTGAGGAAGCACAGGTAACCATATGTCCTCTGCTGATGCTTGAAGCAAGATGGGAACTGCTGTTTTATCTTCCAAATGTCCACCTCCTCATTTCAGTAGTGGCAGGTTCGCTGTGGCCATGTAAGACAAACTGGGAAGCAAGGGATGACTACTAATCTTTCTGCTCCTAGATGTCATAACTGTTCTAGTTTTTTCTGGGGAGGGGTTGTTGTTGTTGTTGTTGTTGTTGTTGTTTTCTGAGAAACAGTGATTGGCTCAGTCATGATTGATTGCTATCATGTTTGTATGCTGTTGGCATAACAGGCACTTGCTGACTAGAAAAGTTTTATGTAATGAGTTCATGTTCTTCTGGTACCAGATCAAAGACACTCCTCAGGTTGAGTTCCTACTATTCTTCTATACACTCAGAATCTCAAAATCTTCCTCCAGGTCAAACTCCTCTAGTTGTTCAGTAGAGTCAATGAATTCTGTCAGAATATAGAAATGAGAAAGAGGAAAAGCTTGGTTCTTAGGATAAAGTGGTCAGCACATTACTCAGTAGAAAAGACTATGCATTTTTACTTTGTTTGCTAAAGAAAAGCTGTTGTGGAGGAGGCTTACAGATAGGACCACTGTCAAGTATTAGACATTCTCTATAAATAATCAAAATAACCAGACTTTTTACATAGTCCTAATCACAGTGATGAAGATGAAGCTCTGTAAAACCTTGGAGGCACCTTTTGACTCACCCATGGCCTTTGATTTGTTATTTTGAACCAGATCATGAAAAAAATGTCTGATCATTATGATTTTTCATGGAAGTTTTGCACTGGGCTCGTTTTTTGCTATTATCATTCTTTGAAATAGGTATCAGTTCATCAGAGGATTTAAGTAATCAGAAGTACCATTTCTAGATTAGTTCAGACAATTGCTTCTATCTCATAAACCAATTGTTACATGTGGGTATGTTGGCTGTAGGGCCCCTGAACAACCACTTACCTGCCCCGGTGGTTGTCACCTCTGGTTTGGCTGGAGGTACGAAGGGAGGCCAGTGTGATGGATGTTTCTGAACTAATTCAAACATCCTTAAGTTTTCCTTTAGAATTTCCTGAGGAGATATAGAAACAGCTATAAACATTGCAGGGTCACTATATTTCTGGCTAGTTGGCAATCTATACCCTAAGCTCTAAGATAGTGTCCTGGTTGTTGAAAGGTGAAAGCAAAGCAAAGGCCAACCAAAAACACCCATCCTCTATTTGACCCATCTAAAGACCCAGCCCTCTTCAATTCTAGAACTTCCCAGGAGGGAAGGCCACTAAACAGAGAATCTGATAGAAGGCCAGTACTCACTGCCCAAACTCCATCATGAGGTTCGGGCCATATGCCAGTTGCATGGGCTCAATTCAATATAGGGATGTTCCTGAAGTGTCGGGTCCAAAGAAATTTTGGTTAATCAAATAAAATCTGCTTCAAGTGAAATACTGGTACATATTGGCACGGTTTCCATTTAGCCCAACACTTACGGTATATGTCCTAATTCAGATAGCATAGTCTTATCAGAAAATAGTTCTTCTAACATTAAATGTGATATAAATAGTTTTGCTGCATTCTGAAATGGAAGTATTACTTTTAGAAAATAATTCTTCATTATGTCTCAGCTAATTATTAACTCGGGTTTCATGTTCAGCTAGGGGCATTCATGTCATCTGCTCACTTGTGAACAAAAATCTGCCCTCTTTAAACCTGCAAGAGGCTCTGGGCTCCCATCTCTCCAATCTCTTTGTTTTGCAGGTAGGAGAACACTGTGTCTCCTGCTATCCCATCCAGGGCTCTGTTGACTACCGCCTATGATCTACCTTCATTTTTTAAACAAGTGTTTAACAGTCTTCCACATATTTGGCATGTGTTAGCTGAAGATGAGAGAGGCAGAAACAAAGATTGGTGATCCAGCAACACAATAAATACCCTTTTACACAAAACACAAAAAAAGGAATAACTTGCTTTAGGATTTACACAGATTTATGCAAACTGTGTCTCCTTTAACTAGCAGCATGCCTATATTTTATATAAATAAGACAGTTAATAGAAAGGCAAGTCCCCTAAACCAGGTGTGTCCAACCTGTGGCCTGCGGGCTGCATGTGTCCCAGGATGACTATGAATGTGGCCCAACACAAAATGATAAATTTACTTAAAACATTATGACACGTTTTTGTGATTATGTGTAACAATATATTCAATGTGTGGCCGAAGACAGCTCTTCTTCCAGTGTGGCCCAAAGGTGCCAAAAGGTAGGACACCCCTGCCAAGCCTAAACCATAATAGGATACATTAAACTATAAGTGGACTACGAAATACATAGCAAAGTAGTTTAGTTTCTTCAACCATCTCAGTGTCATGAACAGACTGAGGAAAATTTTAGGCTGAGCTATATGAAATTAGGATTTTAGGTTAAAATGGTAGAATATTAGTTGAATATTTCAGGACTTGTAGGTTTGATGTAGCTAAAAACATCACCCACTTGACTTACTAAGCATATTTCTAGCAAAAGATTTTCATTGGTTCCCCCAAAGTTATGCACAGTTCCCCACACCTTAGCTTCTTTCTCTTGCAATGAGGTCATATCAGGCTAGGTTTATGTTACTATGAAAAATAATTTTGAAAAGGAATCACAAGGAATAACTTTTGTTTTTTAAGACTAAGAAAAACATATATCCTTACCTTCTGAACAAGGTTACACCAGCTATCAAAGTCTTTTTCTTCTTTGCAGAAAAATCCCTTGAGTGCAAACAAAAGAATACAATTTAGAACTGGTCAGGGGGAGCCCTGGCCAGGTAGCTCAGTTGGTTAGAGTGTCATCCCAATAAGCCAAGCTTGTGGGTTCAATCCCCAGTCAGGGCACATACAAGGATAAACCAATGAATGCATAAATAAGTAGAACAACAAATTGATGTTTCTCTCTCTTTAAAAAATTCAACAAATAAAAAAAATTTTAAAGAACTGGTGAGGGTCACCAGTGAAGGTCCCCCTGTACTCTAAGATGGAGTCAGTGGCCGAGTTACATGTAGGATGTGGGCCACTCTCCTTGGATGTGATTTCCCAACAATTAGGAGGAAGAATGGCCGGGGTTATTTCTCTCCCAGATCGTTGTCACAATTGGGCACAAGCATTTGCTTATTCATTCTCCCCATCCCATTCTTCCCCTCCCATCTCTCCTTCTGTCTCTTCCTCTCCTTCTGTCTCTCCATCCCCTTCTTCCTCGGTTTCTCCTGTGTCTCTGCTTCTCTCTCTTATTCTGACCCTGTCCCTTTTTCCTTCCTATCCCTCTTCCCTCATACTGTAAACTATAGTAACTTAAAGCCCAATCTCCAAAGTGTGGGGTTAATTCCATTACATTCAATTCACAAATATACACATCTATATAGAATAGTAAACCAGTAAACAAAAGCCAAATAGTACTTTCAGCTACAGGCAATACTTAATAAGGTGGCTTTGACCTTAAGAAAATTTTCTTAGAATGAAGAGAAGCATCACCCTCCTTCTACATCCTCAGAGCTATTGTATAGTATTGAAAGAATGGTCCAAAATAAGAGGAGGACTCTTTGGACACTGGTGCCCTGACAATTGGGTTGAACTGGAAGAAAGGACAGAGACATGTCTCAGAACTACTGGCTACTTCACAGGCAGCTGCCCCATCAATGTATGTAAACAGCATTCATACTTCTGGGGAGGGGGAACCCTGCAACTTTCTGGATTCTGTGCTAGACAAATGGGCACTGTCTACCCAGGGGGCCGTGCCCTCTTCTCCCTCCTTAGCAATGTCCCAAATTATTCCCTTTGCCTGTGTGGTAATAATTAGAGGGTGAGATGGAAAAGGGAGAAAGATGGTAACGCTGATAACACATAACATTTATAGAATGTTTACAACCATATAATTTCACTTACATGTGTAATTTAATGAACAAAATGAACTAACAGGCAAAAGAGAGACAGATTCATACACAGAGAAAAGGTTGATAGCTTTCAGGAGGTTGAGGGGCTGAGTGGGGGTGTAGGGATTAAACAAAAAGAAAAAAAGGGAAAAAATTCATGGATGCAGATAACAGTATGGTGATTGCTGAGGGGAGGGGATGTGGGGGAAAGTAGAAGAGGCTATAGGCAGGATAAATGGTGATGGACAGAGACTTGATTTAGGGTGTGGTGAACACACGATACAGTGTACAGATGATGTGTTGTGGAATTGTGCACCTGAAATGTGTATAATTTTGTTAACCAGTGTCATTCCAATATTTTCAATAAATGGGGGGGGGGGTAAATAATGTATACACCGTGCCAGGCACTGTGTTAAGTGCTTTATGCACAGCATACCTCACACAAGGAAGAAATTTCTGTTTTATTCATTGAGGGATGAGAAGACTAAGGCTCAGAAAGGTAAACGGACTCTTCCTAAGTCCATAGCTAGTAAGTGGCAGGGCCTGAATTCCAACTTGAGTAATTCGGCTTCAGGGTCCATTCATTCCATACTACTCTATGCTACCTCTCATGGGGATGGTAAGTGATATACCCTTGACGTTCTACCTAGCTACCTGGATAACCCCCAGGGAACCAATCTGTAATAGGGTGGCAGTGTATCTCTTGGCCCACCCAACCTTCAGATACCCACCAACGCCACAGAGGGATCCAAGTTCAGAATGCTCATTCGCTGTGGCGACTGCAGACAGTGGAAAGTCTGGTCATCAACCGTTCCATTCTCTTCAGTGTCAACAAAGGTCTGGGTTGTGTGAGGGTCCAGGAAAATGAGCTCATCACCTGTTGGAATAAGGCATGCTTAACCTTCAAAGAACCACTGGCTCTGGCCCCACTGCTGTCCTTGGGAGGGGGTACTCTGGTCTTCCTAACCCCTCCCTTGGTGACAATGAAAATGAGATGACAGAAAGCCTGAAGTAAGGTGAGCATGCCTAAGGAAGCCACCTACACCAAAATCTATTCATTCAATGATAATACTTGTCCTAGCATTCACATCTCCTCAAAGTCCCAGTCCAAAAATGGAAAGCAACAGGTTTGAGAAAAGGTGGGGATGAAAGATCACAGATGACATGGCAGGTTCTGTGAGCAGCAGCAAAGAGGTGGTAGGTAGAATCACCAGGCTGTGAGTTCAGGTGCCATTAGGGGGCTTCCCACCTCTTTCAACATTGGAAAGCATCTTGTTCCAGACCATTGGTTTTCAGACTTATGGTCAGAGAGCACATCTGGTAAGGAGAAAGACCTTGGCCTCCAAAGGAAATGGGGATGCTGACCTGCTATGGATTAAATATCAGGGAGCTGACTTCTGGTACAGATTACCTAGCAAGCTAGTCACTGTTAGCAAGTTAGAACTGGTCAGGAGGAGCCCTGGCCAGGTAGCTCAGGGATTTCTAATCCCTGTTAGAAAGCACTGCTTTGGTAACATTAACATTGGTACAGATACACCTTGCTGGGAAAACTCACTTTGGGATGCTGGATATTTATAAGTGAGAGAAAAGTCATGCTTTATTAAATTGAAAAAGCCTAGCCAAATAATGACCTGGGAGGGCTTTAGGATAATAAGATTCTGACTTTTATCTGATATTCAAAGGGCTGAGACTCCCTCTAATGCGCATCAACAGCATGCTGAGTAGGCAAAAGTACCCAAGGGAGCATCCTAATCTCACTGTCCAGACTTGAAGACCATCTTGACTTCTGTGGTTTAGACTTAGTTAGGCAGAAAAAAAAAAAGAGAAGAAAACTTCCTGCAGCAGAAGGATGAGGTAGGAAGGGATACACTAAAGACCTTCCCTGGAATGGCATCCAGGAGTGTGTTGGGTACACCTAAGTGCTTTTGCTGGAAAAGAATGTGTTTCTGATGCCTGATGAAAACTTAACTTGTCTCTATCACAGACCTAGAACAAGCCTTTCAAATCAGTCTGTCTTAATTTTCCTGTTTTTAAACTAGGGTTACTGGGCCTGTTCCAGTTACTTCACAGGGTATTATGAGAAGAATTCACCTCTGTGGAATGTTAAAACACAATACAAATACAAGGAATTCATAGAAGTATCTTGCTTAGACTCAAAAGTATTCCCCTACAAAGTAATGTTGGAGAGTATATGTAAATTAATGCTGCTATATGACTCACTTTATGAAAGTCAAGGTACATGTTCCCCTAGATCGTAAGTGGATAAGATAAGTTAGAAACAACTAGGATGTTTAGAGGGAAGTCTATCTGAGACCATAGAAAGGTAAGAGGAGAAGGAAGTTGTGCACAAGAAAATACAAATCCAAAACAGGGTTATAACCAACCATTCTGCCAGTGTGTTTCAAGTTAAGGTGCTGGGAATAATAGCATCATCCACTCTGCCTCTGGCCCTTTTGTGTGTGTGTGTGTGTGTGTGTGTGTGTGTGTGTGTGTGTGTGTGTAGTGGAGCCTTGTGGGCTGCCTTGTTTCTGAGAGTGCTTAGAAGAGTTCTAGTAGAAAATTTAAAAAGTTCTAGAAATGATGTGGGAACTAAACCCAGGTCTCTAATGAGGCCTGAAGAGTAAAGGCCGGTTGGTCAACCAACTGCAGACACACAGGTCATGCTACAGATCTCCTGGTGGCTACCCATCCTGCAGCACAGGAGACAAACATCTCCTCTTATGCAGGAAAAATCTGGTAGTCAGAGTCTCACCTTGGTCAAAGTCTCTCACAGCAAGAGCTTTTCCCAGTTTCCCACCAGACAAGAGGGCATGAGGGAAGCAATGTGGTATGGTAGATAGGTATGACCAAACTGGGGTGGAATCCTGGCTTTGCTAGTTTCTAGCTGGGTGATCTTAAGAAAATAGTCCCTTTTAATCTTAGATTCAACAGGTGTAATCTCAGGTGTTTCAACAATCTCTACCTCAAAGGGATGTTTTGCTAACTATATGCATCTATCTATCTGTATGTATACGTGTATATATATTTGTATCTATATATCTATATATAATTGTCTATCTATCCCTATATATCTCTCTCTCTCTATATATATATCTACGTATCTACCTATATCTATGCATCTATGTATAACTCTTTATATCTATGTATAACTATATATCTATATCTATCTATCTACCTACCTACCTACCTATCATCTATCTAAAGAGAGACAGAGAACACTTTGCAGAGTCACTGGCACAAGACAGCCGTTCAGAAAATGGCAGTGCTCACTCATTCCCTCTCTTTGGACATTCTACAAATACAGACCCCCAAACCTAATACACTAAGGGGGTGAGTCAAAAAACAGGAATCAAGGGCACTTTGGAGCCTCAAGTGAAGATTAAACAAAGGATTTTTGGAAGGTAGTAAACCTCTGTCTCTGAAACTGAGGATTGCCCACACCTCTCATGAATAGTCAAACTTCATGAAGTCACAACAACCCGGTGGCCTAGGAAACCGAAGAACTTCGTGGACTTGGTGGATTCTGTCTGGGTAACTTGGGATAAGGGCAGCTAGGGAGCCTAGGAGTCACATAAACTACTTACTGAGATCCCTCCAAAGTTATTTTCCAATCTGTTTCAACTTTGTCCTCAAGCACAAATAATAAGAAATAAATTTTTGCAACATTTATTTGACAGGAACCCAAAAGCTTAGAGACAGAGGACATTGAAATGTATATAACTAAGCATTTGCACTTAAAAACCTTCCAATTTTCCATCAAGTTGTAGTTTTTAGGCTTGACCAATAGATGGCAGCACTACAGAGAGCTGAGGAATGTGTGTAGAAATACCAGCCTTAAAGAGAGAAAGACAGACAAAAAGAAAGAGGTGTTGAGGTCAGGCAGGGTGAAGTCACCTTTTATTGCGTGTGCAGTACAGTCCTAGTTCTTTACTGAGTGCTCTCCTGAGTGACAACAAGGTGAGTGAGGTGTTAGCCCTATTTTCCATAAGAATAACCTGAGACTGAAAGAGCTGATACTCTTCCAATAGTCACATTGCTAGCAAGTGGGAGGCTGGCATACAAGGCCAGGTATGTTTGTTTTCACTTTACCTAATCTCCCTGAATCTCCAAGGAGGAGATGGTGGAGGGTGACCAGGCCCACCTCACCCTGTCCTCTGCACATCCCTTATGTCATTCCCCATACCTGCTCTGGCTCTCCCCGGCCAATTTAAGGCTGTATCTTGCAGTCTCCTTCGAGGTCCAGTTTTAGGCCACTCCACTCCTGCAAGAGGTGTCCTGTACCAAACTTCCCTAGCCACACCACTCCCTTCCTGGGGCTCTTCAGCACTAACCAGGGGTCTATGCCCTTGCCACTCAAAGTGTGGTGGGTATACCAGCAGCATCGGCACTACCTTGTTAAAAATCTAGAATCTTAGGGCCTGTCCCAGACCTACCAAACCTGCATTTTAAAAAGCTCTCAAGATGATTCTTGTGCATAAAGTTTGAGAACCACTGGACTAGCTCAACTTGCGTGCCAAGGGCCTTAAGTATCTCTGGTCGCAGCTAGTGAATAAGGTGGTTGGGTTTCCAGAGGTATCAATCTTTGCAGGGAATGCTGGGATGCTTGTTAGGATCCATATTAGGATGTTAGTGGTTTTAAGGCTTAGCCCCCATTATCAGAAAAGGGATAACTATTTTTGCCTCCTCTTATTTTCACCCAGTCTTGGTTCTGAACAATGAGTTAGCGGGCCCAGCTACGTGGACCCGGGAAACCAGAAGACAACCCCAAGCCTAAATGCCAGAGCCCTAGTAAGGCAGAGATCAACAAGGCCAGGTGAGTGACACCCTGCCACCCTGGGCCCCACAGGAAGGAGAGAGGTAGGCGGAAGCAATGCTGTGACCAGGGGGCACTCCTGTGGGAAAGCGGTGTGGAGCCCTCTTATCAAGAGACAAGGAATGAAGCCATTCATGGGGGACCTGCTCTATATCAGGCACACCGAAGTGTTACTCTCCACAGATTAGACCAGAGACAGACGCAACTGACCAGAGACCACATCTCTGAGTTGGACGAGGGCCCCCTAACTGGAATTGCCAGGTCTCCCATGCACACCTTCTGCCCGCCCTCCCCTAGCCCACATTGACTTACTTGCGATTGCTCTTTTCTTACCTAAGAATCCTATGAAATAATAGGCGTTATTTGGTTTTCCTCCTAATGCCCCTAAAGACTGTGGCATCTTAAAACACTCCTAGAGGGAAAGATAATGCAAGATTCTCAATTCACTTGTGGACTGCTGCTCACGGATCTCTGTGCTCACATGGCGATGTGATGGGCAGGCAACAATGGGCTCGGAAAAGGGAGTGACTTACTTTGAATGCATCAACATAGACAGGATTGATTTGGTTTATGCCCAGGCGGAGGGGCACAATGAGCAGCAGGGGCTTCCAGTTTGGGCAGCAAGCAGAGGTGGCCTTATTGTGGTTTGGAGCATTCAGAGGGTCGTGGGGGCTCTCACTGGGTATGTCAGCACTCAAGGGAAGGACGCAACACATTTTTTCTAGAAACAGAAGACAAGAGAGCTGGGTAAATTAGGGGTACCCAGCCCTAGGAGGTATGCCAAGGGCAAAACTAAGGGACACTTCACATAATACCCCCCTGCCTGGAAGACCTTCTACTCTCCCAGTAGGACCCACCTCATCCCACCTCCCACAGGAAGTCCAGGCCATTCTTCCAGACCTTCTTTTCCTTCTTACAGTTGAGCACTCCCTTACCTCCTGTCAGATATTATGGGCTCATTGAAAGAATCTCATTTCTCAACTAGTCTGCAAGGGCCTTTGGGACGTGGATTGTGTCTTTTAGTTTCTCTAACCTCATGGTGGGGAGCACAAGGCTGGACTAGGGGCAGCCTCCACAGAAGACCTGTTCGTGGTTTAATTGATTATCCACACTTTGGGTATCCTGCAGGGAAAAGATCTGGTACTGCACTAAGGAGGAGCAAAGATCCTCTAATTGTTTTCTCCCTTTCAGAGAGTTGAAAGGAAAGAGAAAAAAGGGGTACAGGGGATGATTATTTACCAGAGTCCTGTGCTCCCAAAAGCTTCCTTGACCTGGCGGAGTAGGCCAGAGAGTCAGGGTGCATGTGTGTGTATCGTGTGTCTGTCTGTCTGTTTACCTATTATCTATTTGTCTATCTATCTATCTATCTATATTATCTTTTCATCAATCATCTATCACCTATCTATCTACCATCTATCTCTCACCCCCAATTTCTGAATGGTGAGGAAGGACCTCATCACCCACCACCCAGAAAGTTAAACAGACTAGGGACTCACTGATATCTTCAATGACCACTGTGTTATCCATTGAAACATAAACAGCCAAGGAATTCCATTCATCAAATAAAGCAAGTTTTCTGTAAAGCAACACACAATGAAGTCACAATTGGGGAAGCTGGAAGTACCAGCAGGAAGCAATATAATCCATGCCCAATGTTCCTGAAGTCACCGGACACTGAGCCTCAGAGAGGCTGAGGTTAAGGTTAGCTCCAGCTCCTTTGAATAAGCACTGGAACATTTCATGTTCAGGGACCTTGAGAATGCCACAAAGTCACAGTGTCTGAACCTTGAAAAGGAGACCTTGCTTTACAAAATGGAAAAGTATATCTCACAAGATGAGGCTACTTTTCTTGGGTGAAACAGAAAAGTTACCAAACATTTTGTTTTCCTTCCTTAAATAAAAGATATTCTGATTTACTGCTTTTTTTCAATAAATGGAAACTCATTAAAATATATATATTTGTTTGGAAGCATAGATAATATAGAGAATAAGCTCCAGGGGAAAATACACACAAACACACACACACACACACACACACACACACACACACACACATGATCTTTCATGTCCCTCCCACATGCTGTGAGAACACTCAAGGACACCTGAGCTGCAGATGGCCTTGTGTGCGCAGGTGAAGAGAGAGAACATGCTGAGCTGCATGACCTAAGAGATTAGAAAGAAAACCCCTTTTAGAGCTTATCTGAGGTCTGAACAAAGTACCATGATTATTTCTCCTTTATCTTCTTCTCTTTTTGCCATTTTGAAAGAAAACACATTTAACTTAGCTACTCTGGGATTCCTGGGTAAAGTCCAGTCTCACTGGACAAAAGAAAAAAAATTCTCTCCCAAACCAAAGTGGCTCCCAGGAAGAGGTTCATTACTATTTGACTCTTATTTTATTCATTTTAATGTACTATCTTTCCCCAAAATAATAATGATAGTACATACTGCTGTTAATAATAACAATCAAATCAGAACCCACTTTAATTATTTTAAAAATGTATGGTTCCATTAGATTTTTTTTTTGTTGGGAACCTCAAAATTTAGAAGAAAGAAGCAAAATCTGAGGAATATTTAAAAACCACCCATTTTAAGCTGGGTTTTGGGCTCGGCACAACCATTCTAATCTACACTTTCTATGCTAGGCACACACAGTGGTTCCTGAAATACCACCAAATCCTCACTCAGCAGTTGACAATGCCCCCAAAGGCACTATAGACTAAGGTAAAAGTGGTTTCAGACAGACTACACTGTGAGCAAAGAGTAAAGCCGAGATACAGGTTTCATTTGGGTCCCCAGGAATGCACACTACTCCCCTCACAAGAACATTCACAAACATTCTAGTTCTTTGAATATTGACTAATAATTGAATCAGCACCCCATCCGTACTTTGCATGGAGCAGGTCCCACTGTTGTGCTCCAGAGAACCCAGGATTGAAGCACACTATACCAAAGAAGGCCCAGTGATTTTAGTCTTCTGATGCCTAAATCCATTCCCTGATTCTGGCTGCCATTTTCATCTGTGTATCAAATATTTAGTGAACACTTATGTGTGCCAGGCAGTTTTGTGTACTAGTCTTCCAGCAGTGAACAAGACAAATACAAGCTCTGCTCTCACAGAGTTTTCATTTGGTGATATGTTGTGAGGAACCAGAGTGACAACAGGTAAGATGGCCTGCAGGTATAGGTCCTGATGCCTCTCACCTCATTCACTTACAAAACACTGATACTGCCCTCTCCACCTTGCCTCTTGCTGTGGGAGGTGAATTCTGGGATTTAACAGGACAAGTGCAAAAGTACTGTGTTGGCCAAAAAGTCCGTATGTTTTTTTCTATAAAGTAAAAGACACATTTTTCATTTTCACCAATAACTTCATTGATTTGGATATTTTGAGTATCTCAGCTGTCTCCCACATGGTAGAACATTGATTTTTCTCAATTAATGTCTTGATTTGATAGCTATCAACTTCAACTGGTCCACCTGACGTGGAGCATCATCCAGCGAGAAGTCTCCATCATGAAACATCACAAACCACTTTTGACTTGTTCGATCAGTCACAGCACATTCTCCATACTACACTGCACAATTTTTTTTTTGCATTTTAGTTGCATTTTTACCTTTCTTGAAATAATAAAGCATAACTTACCAAAAATGTTGCATATTTTCACCCATCTTCAATATTAAAATGGCTACACAAAAGTTCATGAATTTTGATAAGTCTTTTAATGCATGCTGATATGACAGCTGTCACAATACAATCTAACAAAATTGTTTTGAATGAAGTTAAAGACAGTTAAGTGTTGCTAGAGCCATCTTACATGAAAAACCAAGTGAACTTTCTTGGCCAACCCAATATAATACTTCAGTGCCTGAAGTCTGCTAAGAGATGACAGACTGATTCTGAGATTTGCTTGGGATTTGTCTTTTCCAACAAGTCATGAGTTCCTTGAGGCAGGGACTCTGTCTAGTTCATTTACGTACACTGAGCAAGCACAGTAAAGGCACCCAGTAAATGTTGAGTGAATACATAAATGAATGAGTGGGTTTTAAATACTATGCAGAGTGGGAGTCCATGTCTTATCTAAGCTGGCTCAGCCTCCCCCAATTAGTATGAGTACTAAGTGACCCTCATGCTGGTGGCTCCCACCACCAATCTGCAGGGTGTGTGTGGAATACTGAATTAGTCCTGATGTGCTGCCACATATACTTGTACTAACGACTATAACTCTGATGTACCAAGACAGATGTGCCCAGTTACACATTTCAAAGAACTGTCTGAGCAAAATGGTAAAGATGTTTGGTGGCTTTGTGGGATGGCAAGAGTAATTAGATTAATGGAACATTGACTTGGAAGAGGAGGGAGGCATAAGAGACAGTATAATAAAGTGAATGCCAGACTCTTTTACTTACTTTAATACCTGTGCAACTGTATTTGGTCCGAACCATTCACCAATTGACTTCCCTTCTCCTACACCCATTTGTGCTGTTTTTAAGTGGAAAAAAATAAACAAGTTAGCAAAATGACTTCCAGCATGCCACAAAATCCTAATTTTTTGCATAAGTAACTAAACAGATGGACAGCTTAGTGGAGCCACATACAAGGCAGGGATTAGAGGAACAGGTACAAGTATTGTCTTTAAACCACTGATGTGACCTTACCCATTTGATGGATAGAATAGCAACAGTCTTTTCTATCTAAGAAGCACTGTAAGATCCGCTGGTATTCTTTGGGTTGTTCTTTTTGTTTCTCCCAGTTCCAGTCTTTTAGGGAAAAAAGATGAGTTAAGTCATTTTTATAATTGCTTATTACTTCTCTGAACTCATTATAACTACCAGGTTAGAAGGACAATAAAAAACCTATACCTGAAAGCCAGGAATGATCAACTTAGAACATTCCTAAGTAAGTTTAATTTTGCTGACAAAGACATCTGGAAACTGATCACTTTCAGATACTTGATAGGGTATAAAGTAAAAGCAGAACAAGAACTTGACCAAGGAATGGACTTAGCCCCAGGGCTTGAGCTGGATAAATATATGAAAACAGTCTCACAAAGGCCCTTCTGGTCAGCTACTCAGTGCTCAGGCAGTCGTACTAAACCCAGCAATATATCTGTATATCACCGAGACACCAGTGTCTATTCTCCACACAAACAGCAACAGCTTTGTCCTTGTATTTTGGCAGCATTGCCAATAGAGTCTCATGGGGGGAAGTGTTATTCTGACACACAACATTTCGCAGAGGAATATATACAATTCACAGTGCAGGAAGCTTTAAAAAAATGGCATGCCATTTTACACAACCTTTAAAAAGTCCACACTGAACTCTGGAAAAACAAATACCTTTGCTATCATCATTCAAGGTTTTCTTATGACCAAAACCAAAATAATCATATCTATAGGAATCCTGCTCATGTCTTAGACACCATCCCCAAAATCCTACAAAGGCTACTTATTGCTACTGATGGACCACTGCAAAAGCTTGCCAAAATCACCACTGTGGACAGGATGCACTTCTCCCATTCCTTCAGCTCTAGGAACTCTGTCTAATGGGACAGAATTCTGCGTCTTAGTTTGCTTCCAAGATGCAAATTTCTCTCCTGAGGTATTAGAGAGACTTTGAATTCACAACTGAAATAGTCTCCAAAGCCAAAGGCCATTGTCTCCAGAGTTTTCCATTCTATTTGCTTCTAGTGTTTCTGAAACCAGAGTTTTGCACTTTATATTCAGCACCAACTTCAGAGGGCAAACTGTATTCAGCTGTTTTTCATCAGCTACCAAATTGCCCAAGTCTGGGCAAATCTTGATTAACTGGCTGCTAAGTACCACTAAAAAGTTTCTGATGACGGTGACAAGTGAACACCTCGCCTCAATAATCAAATAGGACATACTCCAAAATACTTTACAAAATTACATCTTCTAATTTATCTTTGTTACAAGGCCTATTCCCAAATTCTTCTTGCTACTTGTTTTTACATTAAAACAATTGAAACTGCTGACTGGGTTCTTTCTTCCAGTTTGCTTTTCACAAAGTTCACTTGCAGAAGAATCATCTTGAAGTGTCTTATAAATGAGAAAAGGTTAAATAGTAAGAATGAATTGGCTCCAGGAAGTATGTGTACCATAGAGAACTCTCTGGACAAGGAGTCAGAAGATCTGCATTGTATTTCCAAACCTATGCGTTCTTGCTGTTTGACTGTAGGCAAGTCCCCTTACTTCCTAAGTCTTAGTTTCTTCATCTGCTAAACAGAGAGCAGGCACAGGATATCCTATACCCTTAAAAAAAAGCATTAGGCCCGCAAACCTCCCCAGATCCTCCCCAATTTTCTGTGATAACGGCAGCATGGTGTGTGAGGTTGTGCAGTGGGAAAAAGGAATAATGTTTCCATCCTTCTGAATCTCAATGAGTTCAGCAGCCCAATCTCATTCAAAGTCTCATTTCACTCCCTCCTCCTCAAGTTGAACTGGACTTTCACCCAATTGCCTAAACTGGCATCCAGTCAGAGTCAGCCTACAGATATCCACAGGGAAGCACACAGGAGGTGGCGGGGAAATGGAGACAAATGTATTTGAACAATAAAAAACTTGTTTTTAATAAAATTAAAAAAGAAAGCAAGAGTTAAGAGTTCCAAAAATGATTAGTGAAACATTCTTAATGAAGTGCCCTTTTGAGGAAGCAATTTAAGGACCCCTTAATAATCAAATGGACATCTTCAGTGAACCAAAACCAAAATAGCACTATCTCCCTCATCAGGCACTTCCTTTATGTCATTTACATCCTTTGGCAGGCACATATTTTAAATGAGGTCAAGAAACAGACTTACCACCACACCTTTCCTCCTGCTCCCTTTGTTATCTGACCTGCTTAAGAACTCAGTCAAACAATAGCAAAGATGGAAACTAAATGACACACCTGCCTCAATGTTCAATTCTGTCCCAGGAAAATAATTCTCTGGCTTGGTGAATCACAAGGAAGTGTCACCTGTTTCCTTCTCATGGGAGACTTTGTTAACTTGTCAACCATACCACTTGAGCATACATGGAGCACTTTAGGAACTGCAGCTCTGTTGGTGAGCATTCCTCAAGTTCACTAACAATGTGAAACCACTGGCAGTAAGTGCTACTGAAGAGGTCTCTGAGGCAGTATAGAAAACAAATTTAACTCACCCCTTCCCAAGTGTCTGCAGATAAGAGCCTGAGCCAGCATCATCTGTCCACAGCGTAGCATACATCCCCAGCCAGCATCTGAGGAAGGGCCTGTTCCCCCTGACGGCAAAATGGATGGCAATGAACATGAATTCTTGAAATTGCCCTTTCCCCAAACAACCAGCACATCTGCGAATCATACAAGGCAGACAGACACACATACCATAAAAAGAGAGGCAAGAGATATAGCCAGATATCAAACAGGGTTTGTTATAGAGTGGAATTTGCAAAGTTAAAGCTGAGTTAACCAAAATGGGTTTTATGGTCAAAAACAAAAACGAATGAACAAAATCTACCCCTTCTGTTTTCTACTTAAAGACTTCTTGGTATGCATGCAATTTGGGTAGACGACTGCCATGTGTGACTGCTGACACTTAGTCCACATCGCATCACAACCTGGCTGATAAAACCTGGCTTTGCTCAGCTCACCTCTCAGGGAAACCAGTCTTTTTTAAAAATGAATTTATTGGGATGACATTGGTTTACAAAAGCATACAGGTTTCAAGTATACAACTTAACAAAACACCATCTGCACACTGTATCATGCACCCATCGCCCTAAGCAAAGTTTCTTTCGTGCCCATTTTCTCCCCCTTTGCCTACCTCTTCCTACCCCTAGTCCCCTTTCCCTCTGGGTATCAACACCTGTTGTCTGTGTCTATATGTTATATGTCTCTGTGTGTGTGTGTGTGTGTGTGTGTGTGTGTTTTGCTTAATTCTTTTAACTTCTTTCATCCAGCCCTCAATCCCCATCCCCCCTGACAGCTGTTACTCTATTCCATGTATCCATGCTTCTGTTTATATCTTGTTTGTCAGTTTATTTTGTTCATTAGATTCAGGGAAACCGGTATTACCTTAGGTAACAAATAAATGCTACGAAAGGCAATCATCAAAATGGTCAAAGAGATCTGGAAGGCTGTTGACTGTTCTAAATGTACATTATAAGGATCTGAACAGTAAGAAGGACAATGTAAAATAGAGGAAAGAGTCTTAAACTAGGCATCAGAAGATCACTCTCTAATTATGTAATGTAAATCTCACCTATAGACTGAGGATAATAGCATATATCCTGCTTCACTGGGTATTGTAAGAATTAAATGAGAACCTGTGGAAGTGTTCTACAACCCGCTCAGGATAATGCAAATACTTGGTATTATGAGTAAAGTCACAATTAAGAATACTATTAATAAATTAGAAATGTACTACATCTTTAAAAGGCACAAAACTAGTTATAAATGAAATAAGACAAAGGGTTCCATTTTAAGAACACTTGATATATCGAAGATCCCGCATACGTGGCCAGGGTGAGCTCAATATTCTTTTTCATGGCACCAATGAAATCAGATAACTTGGATAGCAGAAGAGACATTCTGATTTCATCGCTTCTCTTTCCCAATATGGAAGTAAAAAAGTATGCTATAAGCATGGTCACAAAAGAATACTTTGCAATGTGTAATGAGCACTTTTTGCCCAAATTTTGAAGGGAAAATAAGGATGTGCATTATACATGGATAGTTCTAATTCTGTATCTAAATAAATATTTTTAATTCTTTTATTTATGCTTGTTCATTAAAAGTGTAATTTCTGAAAGTAGTAATGAATTCCATATGCAAAATAATACCCTAGACTATGATAACTGGTTTGTTTCAAATTTATAAATAATGGAATTAAAAAATTAAAATAAAAGATTTTATTCCTGAAACTTTGGGCCAAAAACGTGGGTGCACATTATACATGGGAGTACATTATACACAGCAAAATATGGTAACTTTAAAGGGGGCCATCAGCCTTATAAGACAAGCGGGCCAAGGTGGCAGCCTCCTTCCTTTTGCTGTGCGGATTGAAGGAGATTTGCTATAGCAACAAGAAGAAGGTTGAGCCAATTTGTGAGCTGGAAGGGGAGCTCTTTAGCTTTTTCTCATGTTGGGATCATTGGCTAGATTAGTGTGGAAAAGATGCTATGAAGCCCACATAAAGAAGAGAGCATCTATTGCCAAAGCATTGTCATAGCTGAATTGTAAATGTTTTCAAGACTTGCAAAAAACTCTTCACCCAGACAAAGTTAACAGTGTAGAATCACTGGGTAGTAAAAATTGTTCTTTTGTTTGTTTTACAGCTCAGGTACTTCCTGTCTAGGGCAAAAAAAAAAATGTCTGTATGGACTCCATTTTTGGCACTTATCAGAAAGGTTGATCTGATGCCAATTACTAGGTCCAGTACTGCATCAAAACTGGTCGGACAGGTTTCCTGTTAGGAGAACAGCTTCCACCATTTGGGTTTGGTAATCTTTTCCTACAGGGCCATGATACTAGGAATAGGTCACCCTACTTGCAAACATTTTACAAATTTTCTCTAGATGGAGCCTGTTCACTTAGCTCATTAAACTGCCTTTTTTCTAGATAGCAGCTGGTACTCTAACAGCCTCGTATTAGGTCCAAGGAAATCTATCATAATTCATCTCCCAGTGGCAAGGTGTTTTCATAGGAAAAAACAATCAAAAGAATTCTTTTCTTTCCTTCAGGTACAATTGTCTCTAATGATCAAGTAGCTGCACAAAGCAATAGATTATAATTTAATAAATATTGCCCAAATTAAAAGTGACTTTTTCCTTACTCTCAGAAGTAAAATGAGTAATACTATCCAGAGTCCAAACACTTGGAGGTGGGCTCAAAACTATTCTGGAGACATACATGATGAAGTACCTTGACAATGAAACTTTTGCATAAAGTGTAAAACTTAAATACTCCCCTAAATCAAATTCTTAATCATAGGGATGTGTTAATTTGGAGCCTTCTGTGAAGTCACTGATAACCTCAGGCAAGCTATCTACAAGGAAGAAAGTATAGTACAACAAATGATATACCTACCAATTGGTGAAAATTTCCTTCTGTATGTAAACCATAGACGAGCACTTATATCAGACAACAGCTTAGATTTTTCTGTAATTAAATGTGAAATTCAAATTAAATCACTATATCTCATCTAAAAATATTTGCCTTTGATTTCTGAGCCAGCATCAAACTCATTTTCAAACAATCAGTTAATTCTATTGTTATGGGCTTAGGGAAAGTCATAGGAAACCCAATCTCATTTTAAACAAGTAACCAGCATTTCTTCCTACTTACGTTTTGACTGGAGCCATTGAGTAGTACAATGATGCTGCATGGCTCCTGTCTCTTTTTCACTGAGCTCCATGGCCCTGGTGAATACTAACACTGGCGTCCTGGCCAGAAGACAGGACTAGGAAAAGCAATCATCCTAGATAACCCACTAACAAGGCAATGACCCCTGCCTGAGTGAGGACAGTTGATTGGATCTGTCATTAGTATTCATTGTCTGTTATCTAAAACTGGGTGTGGGCCTGTGTGTGGAGAGGTTTGTGCACATGTGTGCACGTTTAACTAAAAAGGAAATGTCCTCAGTTAAGCAAATTAAGTATGTAAGAAGTATATCAATACCACCTAGTGCAACTGGCGTTTGTGACCTAAATGGATGTATAAAATCACAAATGTTTTTATATCTTTTTTGAAAGCATGCTTTCTTGTATTTTATGACAAATTTATTTTCATGGCCACAGATATGGCTTTCAAGTTCTCATCAGTACTTCGGTGTGGTTCTATCTTTCTTAGTCTTCTCTCTCCCTCGTTTCAACAACATATCTATGCTTGCATTCTGTATAGAACTTACAGCCATTGCATTTTACAAGGAAAAAAGGAAATTCAGTTTTAGCCTATAGTTTCTATTGTCTCTCCTGCCTTTCCTTTGAACTAATCATAAAATTGAACTGTCTGGATTTTCCTTCCCTTTCATGTCCACAGTATCTAGCACATTTTGGGAAGCAGATGTATAAAGGGTAAGAGAAAGAGTCTTACAGTCAGACTCCATCCGGGTTTGAACACTGACTCTGCTACTTACCAGCTGTGTAGCCTTGTCACTGAGATTCCCTTTCCTCATCTGTAAAATGGGGAGAATAATAGTACCTACTTCATAGATCTGTGAGCATTCAACAAGATAATACATAGAAAATGTTTAGAAGCTACAGTATGCAGTAAGCCTGTGATAAATGTTAGCTAATATTATATATACATCCTCTCAAAATGTTCAGACTAGTGACTTCTTCCTCTGATATTCCCTACACCTCCCAGCTTGCCTATATGCTAGGAAGGCTGGGGAAGTTGTGTGGGCATCTTAGTAATTTCACTTCAAAAGGCATTTCCTAAGTTAACATTTCAATATGGGCATGTTTGACAACCTAGAGATTTCTGTTGTCATGGAATGCAGAACTAGAAAAGATGATCTCCAGGCCCCTCACTGTATGTGCTAGTGTAGGGAGTTAAGCTCCAGAAAGAGCCAAGTGACTTATGTAAGGCAGAAGAGTCTGAATAGAAAGATTCTCCTAATTGCTAGCTTCGAGAATTCTGCAGAGTTCAGGATTCGCTTATCAAAATGATGAAGCCAGACTCAGGCTGAGCTACAAAATACCCAACTTCCTCTCTCGCCTTTTGATCAGCTTCCTCCTGCCCTTCCCTCTCTCCTGGGGTCTTTCCTCAGATGACAGAAAGTCAGAGCTGCCTCTCTCTAAGATCAGGCTTTATCAGAGTGCAGGGTAACAGTTTTAGGTTTAAAGGTCTTTCCCAATGTATGAGACTGTAAAGGTAAGAAAGAAAAATTGAAGCCTCCTTTCCATCTGTCCAGCTGCAGTAGCTGTAAGTTCTATACAAAATCAGGATAAATTAAGACAGAGCTACAGTCAACAAAATATCTAAAACTACAAGAGTTCTCAATGTCTGATATTGTTTTGGACAGCCATGGGCTGTTTAGAAGTCCTCCGGGGAGCAGCATTTTGAGTCTAGACAAAAAAGGGCATGTGAGGAATTGAAAGCATGTAGCCCAATCATCAAAGACTAGATACCGGTTAGTGATACCAGGAGTAGGTCAATATTTTTTTGGAACCTGAGGCTTAGAGAATTCAGGGGTTCTCATTTAAGGAAAAGAATACAAATACGTGATTTTTCACATTGTATAAACACTTAATAGCCATGTGAACTTGCTGCAATGACCTCTTAGGGTCTTGGAAGGGGTCTGTGCAAGTGAAGGGCCTAAGGCTTAAACTCCTTTGGCTGCAAGGTAAATCTGCCTAGGAGTAGAATTAACAGTTTTCAAAGTAATGTTCTGCCAACCCAAAGAGGAAAAAAGTAAAAGACCTTAACCTCAAGCACCCACCTCATTTGGGTTCTCACAGACAAATGCTACCAAACCTTACCTGTTTTGTTTTTTTAAAACCTTACCTGTTTTAAGGAGATGCTGTTTCCCCAAGATCCATACCAGCTCATCTGTGTCTGGAAATTCTTCTAGGTAGTCAGTGAAAATAGTAATCTGGTTTTCATACTTGGATAAAACTGAAAGAAAAGCAAAGAAACAGGAAAAATTTAACAGAGGGGGTTTGCTTCTGTGGTTTACTGATTATTACCTTTGTCCTAAAGGTGAAAGGTCATGGGCTTCAATATAATGGAAGCAAATTATTTTGAGGAATGAGGACACTCACAAAGCTTCAAAATCCTTCAGAAAAGTGACTTCCTCTTGACCACCTCTTTTGACCTGGTCCTATTTGGCACCATGTCTTAATTTTTTGGCCACAGTTATCTCAAAAATTTTTCTTTCATGGGACCTTCTTTGTAAATAGCCACTTATCTAGTTTCTCCTAGGGTGAGTGTATCAAGGTAATATAATACATTCTTAATATCTAACTCCTGCCCATGTCACATGGAATATTGTGAGGTTTCTAGTAGCCAGTGGCTTGGAAGGGTCAGCCTGAAAAATTATACAACTGTGAAAATGTAGTATTTTAGCTGCAAGACTAAATGTTTTGATGGCACTTTTATTTGCCATTTTATTCACATATGACTTCTGCAAAAAAGGATCTTATGACTGATGATAAATACAGGGTGGGACAAAAGTAAGTTTACAGTTGTTGGTATGCAGAACACAGGGTTTATTCTTGTATTATTATTTATTATTGTGTTATTTTCCATACTAACAACTGCCAACCTACTTTACCCCCATCCTGTATAACTTCATTCACAAATGACTATGATAATCTCTCAAAATAAAGTAACCATGTTTATAATATATATAAAATTAAACCTCATAAGATCACAAGCAACACTTTCAGAACTTATGACCATGTAATGTAGGAAGAGTTAAAATCCACTTTTATACCACTGTGGGGAAAGCATCTGCTAAAATAGTCAAGACTGACTTACGATGGGGTTTTATCTCAAAAGTCCTCTTTAAGTAATTTTCTGAGGGAAACAATATTATAGGCAGTAAATAAGTTTCCAATGCAACCCACAAAAAGCTATTTAACCTATAACTTGAAAAATAAAATTGATAGTATATTTCATAGTTCATGATGTTTTTTCTACAAGGACTATAGTATACGTCAAGTTCAATACTAACAGACCCAACACACACCTTCTCCTCTCAGCTCTTAGAGTCTCCCCATTCCCTATGGGGAGGGTAGCTCAGAGAGAGTAGGAGCCCTTCTGTACAGCTACAAGTAGCCGCAGGGACTCTCCCAAAGTGGTCCCTAAAAGCCCCATGTGAATGCTTTCCTATAAAAATGGCATTGTGGGATATGTTTACCTCACTTGAAAGGATAGATTGTTTTTAAAGGCAGGAGCATGCTGTTTTCACAGAAACAAATGTTTATAAATATAAATGAGTTATATCTGGTCATGAAAACAGGTTTATCTGCTCAAAATACTTAGTTGAAGTTATATTTTATATAATTTGTACAAGTTGCAGTTATAATTTGTCTGAAGTTATAACTTTAGAAACACAGCTACCCAGGTATACTGCCTTTCTTGAAATGTATTACAGTAGTCCAGTCTTTCAGGAATTTAATTAGCCTTTCTCCTCAAGATATTTTAATCATGAAGGTTATAGTTTTGTCAGTATTTCAAAGACAAAGAAGTTAGAAATAAGCCAGCCACTTTTTTCCCCAGTGAAAACTCATCACTGCCAAATATCCCAGGGAGCCAGTGCTATCTTAGCTTTTCTGTCACTGGCCTCAGTCCCTGGTCCATGTCCAGGAAACAACAGACTAAAAATTATTGCCTGGGTCAAGCCATCCCCAGGAGGTGGTGGACTCCGGTGGTATAAAATCACACTGCATACCTTCCCACCCTACTCTCTACCCCTCACAGGCCGGAGGATTCAGGTTAAAATGAATATCCAGTGTATCCTAGAAAGAAAAAAGTCAGAAAATAAGTAGCTTGAGAAGAGTGTGGGAAAGAGGCAGCCTCTTTGGCATTTCTCTGATTGGGATGAGGAAGCGTGGCATTGGATGAATGCACACAATTTTTGTATATAGGCCTTGGGTCTTTTTTAGTACTTGTTGAAAAAAAAAACAAATGTTATCTATCGCCATCCCTGTCTCAATGTCAAAGCCCAGCTATCTTGTCAAATTAGTACCACCCCTTAAAGCCTGTGAGAACTGTGCTGCTTCCGTTGGGGTGACTCTGACTAAAATGGTAGCCAAAGAATTTTCCTTTTGCTTGTCAGCCCTTCTCAGGCCTGCAAGAAGGTCACTATAGTTGTCATTCTTCTTGATCATTCTCTTAGACAATACATTCCCAGAATGCATAGTGTCAGACCAGAGCCAACCCAAGTGGAAGCTACATGATGAAACAAATGAAAACCTGAACAGAAGATGAGACAAACAGAAGCAAAGAACGGTAACACAAGGGAGAGTATATATAAGGATGTCTAGGGAGGAAAGAGAAATAGGTCTTCCACAAGATCTCAGGGAGATGAAGAAGCAAACTGGGACATGGTTGTGGTTTAGAAGTGAAATTGCATTTGCAACGGAATCACTTCTGACTACAATAGGATCCCCTTATCTGTGGTTTTTCTTTCTGCTGGATCAGTTACACATGGTCGCCCATGGTTGGAAAATGTTAAATGAAAAATTTCAGAAATAAGCATTCATGAGTTTTAAACTAATACCATTCTGAGTAGCATGACAAACTCTAGCTCCATCTGATAAGAGGGGGATCTAGAGAGATTGCTGGGGAGAGGGAAGGGATCCTGAGGTGGGGTGTGAGAGCCTGCATTTGCTGAAGTAAGAGAGGGCTCAGGAAATGCCAGAGGTAGCAGGACTGAAACCTCAGCATGGCACGTGATGGATTTCCATACCACCACGTAAGCGATAAACTGACCAGTGCACCAGCATCGCATTGCCCCCACAACTGAGCAGCACAGCGCGTTACACAACAGAAAGAGGACCCTGCATGGGGCACGCACAGGGGCTAGTGAAGTGTTTGGACAGAGAGAAAAAGCCCTCCTACTTGTTTCCAGACAGCATGGAATTCTGAGACCAGAGATTTAAATGGAGGGTGGAAGGAGTCCCTGTCATGGGGGCCAGAGCTCACACACCAGCAGGCAGTGGAAGCTGTATGGCCAGGAGACAGGCCCTGGGCCCCTCCAGGTGCAGGCAGCAGTGCTGTCATGGGTGACTCACGCTGCGCAGTCCCACTCAGCTGGGTCTGTGGATACACCGGAGAGCCAATGGCCTGAGGGATGGGGCACAGATGGTGGGCCAGCGGGCAGCAAGCAGAAGAAAGGGCAGCACACAGCAAGTAGGACACGAGAGCACGCAGACTCCAGAAAGGTGCCTGAAGCTGGACTGCGACTGGAAGCTAGCTAAGCCACCTGGGTGGTCACACTGTTACCCTCTGTGTTTCCCAAAGGATGCTATATTCAATGGGAGAAGAATTCCAGGTGCAGCCTTGAACTCATCTGGCAAAGGGTGGTGGGGTTTTTCTTTGGGGGTTTTAGAGGGAATGGTTCTAAAGCAGAAGCCTGCCATTCTTCCAAAATGGTGTAGCTTTTGAATAAATGACCTTTTTCCTTTTTCACCAAACCTCTGCCTTTGGAGTTTACCTATGGGTGTTGGGCAGTGGGGCCTCATTATGTTGGGTAACAGTAATAGTAATGGCGACTCTGGTGGGATCCTAGCTGCCTGTGGCAGGCTGACCCCCTCATGAGTTGGACTGTGGGGTTCCCACTCTCCGGGAAATTCTCTGCACACACGCTTGAGGTTTCGGCTGCTTAAACACATCTGGTAGGTGGAAAGGAAACAGGTTTGGGTAGGGGATAGACTCTTAGAAGGGGCGAGGATCACCTGAGTTTTGGAGCTGTGAACCAGGGTCCGGGTGAGGACCGGCCAAGTTTTGGGAGGCCATCGTTTGGGGGCCCCTGTTTGTGAGATCAGTTGCCAGAAGACTTGCTTGTGAGCACTTGTTTGGAATAATGGAGTTGTGGGTTCAAGCTTCGCTTATATGTCCTCAGTTTGCCTGCATTCCTTTGGTCATAGCTTTTGGCCTGTGTGTCTAAGACAATAGGGGCTGTTCTGTATTGCTCCTGAAGGGGGCTCACTGGGTAGAATTTTAGCAGAATGGAGTATGTAGAGCCATTGTCCAATGTCTAAGGAGAAACTGGTTCTTTCCTGTAATACTGTGTGGCCTACGTGCATTTTAGATTGCAGGGGAAATGGCCCCTACATGATTCCCTAAATTATTGTACCATCATGCAATTGGAAATATATTGCCAATGGTTAGACAAATGGGATGAAATCTATTAGCTCAAGGCATTTATGTTGTTACGTGATAGCATTTCACCAGGGACAGAGAATTGCTTGATGGTGCAAAGAAGGGAAGTGGCTTCAAAACCCCTCCTGATAGTAGAATGCAGGAAGAAAAGGAAAATGAAGAAATAAGTTTTGTCAATGCCCTGTACCCAGGGGATGCAGGATTAGTAGCAGGAAGATCTCCCCTGTCCCTACTCCCACTATTAGATACCCCTGAAATAGGGCCCAGAGAGCCCAGAGGGCCCATACAGCCCCACCCCTGTGTGATGAGGGAAGGCTCTCCCCATCGAAGACCCATCAGGGCACTCAATTTGGCCAGGCAGCACCTCCATCTGGAGCAGACAGTTCCCTTTGAGGCAGTGCTCTATAGATGGGTAACTCAGGAAGGCCAGCCTGCTGGCTACTATTGGGCCCAAACTGCATTCTCTACTTCAGACTTACTGAATTGGAAGAATCCCAAGCCCTCATGTAGGGAGAATCCTTAGAGAAGTGGCAGATCTTGTCACCTCCATTTTTGTCACTCATCATACAAACTGGGCAGATGTACAGGCTCTCCTTCACATTCTGCTGATGGCAGACGAAAGGAGGCTGGTTATAAATAAGGCTAATGAGGCTTAACACCTCCACCAAGAAAATCCCAATGGGACGCCCAGCCCAGCTGGGGCAATTCCCTTGATGGAGCCCAATTGGGACCGAAATAGTGGGTACCTAGACCTCCTAGAACATTACAAAAGATGCATATTGAAA